TAAGAGACTCTAGAAGACATTCCAACTCGATTTGTGGACTGATGTGCCGTTATACAGGAACAATGCATCGAAACTTTGGGTAAAAATCAGTAAAAAATATGATTTTTTTCTCAATAAATCGATTATTTCTGCCCAAATCTTCGAAATAATGGCAGTCTGAATATTGTATGATACTCTCCTTGCATCAAAAGTCATTTCTGCGTCGTTAGGAGAAAAGTCATTTTTTGGCCAAATTTGATGAAAAATGTAAGGCTAACCCCTTGCATTTTTTTCAATTTTGGCCAAAAAATTAAATTGCGCCAAACTTCCAGGAAAGATGCCTAAGAGACTCTAGAAGACATTCCAGCTCGATTTGTGGACTGATGTGCCGTTATACAGGAACAATGCATCGAAAATTTGGGTAAAAATCATTGAAAAATATGATTTTTTTTCTCAATAAATCGATTATTTCTGCCCAAATCTTCGAAATAATGGCAGTCTGAATATTGTTTTCTACTCTCCTTGCATCAAAGGTCATTTCTGCGTCGTTTGGAGAAAAGTAATTTTTTGGCCAAATTTGATGAAAAATGTAAAGCTAACCCCTTACATTTTTTTCAATTTTGGCCAAAAAATTAAATTGCGCCAAACTTCCAGGAAAGATGCCTAAGAGACTCTAGAAGACATTCCAGATCGATTTGTGGACTGATGTGCCGTTATACAGGAACAATGCATCGAAAATTTGGGTAAAAATCAGTGAAAAATATGATTTTTTTTCTCAATAAATCGATTATTTCTGCCCAAATCTTCGAAATAATGGCAGTCTGAATATTGTATGATACTCTCCTTGCATTAAAGGTCATTTCTGCGTCGTTTGGAGAAAAGTAATTTTTTGGCCAAATTTGATGAAAAATGTAATGCTAACCCCTCACATTTTTTTCAATTTTGGCCAAAAAATTAAATTGCGCCAAACTTCCAGGAAAGATGCCTAAGAGACTCTAGAAGACATTCCAACTCGATTTGTGGACTGATGTGCCGTTATACAGGAACAATGCATCGAAAATTTGGGTAAAAATCAGTGAAAAATATGATTTTTTTCTCAATAAATCGATTATTTCTGCCAAAATCTTCGAAATAATGGCAGTCTGAATATTGTATTCTACTCTCCTTGCATCAAAAGTCATTTCTGCGTCGTTAGAAGAAAAGTCATTTTTTGGCCAAATTTGATGAAAAATGTCAGGCTAACCCCTTGCATTTTTTTCAATTTTGGCCAAAAAATTAAATTGCGCCAAACTTCCAGGAAAGATGCCTAAGAGACTCTAGAAGACATTCCAGCTCGATTTGTGGACTGATGTGCCGTTATACAGGAACAATGCATCGAAAATTAGGGTAAAAATCACTGAAAAACATGATTTTTTTCTCAATAAATCGATTATTTCTGCCCAAATCTTCGAAATAATGGCAGTCTGAATATTGTATGATACTCTCCTTGCATCAAAAATCATTTCTGCGTCGTTAGGAGAAAAGTCATTTTTTGGCCAAATTTGATGAAAAATGTAAGGCTAACCCCTTGCATTTTTTTCAATTTTGGCCAAAAAAATAAATTGCGCCAAACTTCCAGGAAAGATGCCTAAGAGACTCTAGAAGACATTCCAGCTCGATTTGTGGACTGATGTGCCGTTAGACAGGAACAATGCATCGAAAATTTGGGTAAAAATCAGTGAAAAATATGATTTTTTTTCTCAATAAATCGATTATTTCTGCCCAAATCTTCGAAATAATGGCAGTCTGAATATTTTATGATACTCTCCTTGCATCAAAGGTCATTTCTGCGTCGTTTGGAGAAAAGTAATTTTTTGGCCAAATTTGATGAAAAATGTAAGGCTAACCCCTTACATTTTTTTCAATTTTGGCCAAAAAATTAAATTGCGCCAAACTTCCAGGAAAGATGGCTAAGAGACTCTAGAAGACATTCCAGCTCGATTTGTGGACTGCTGTGCCGTTAGACAGGAACAATGCATCGAAAATTTGGGTAAAAATCATTGAAAAATATGATTTTTTTTCTCTTTAAATCGATTATTTCTGCCCAAATCTTCGAAATAAAAGCAGTCTGAATATTGTATGATACTCTCCTTGCATTAAAGGTCATTTCTGCGTCGTTTGGAGAAAAGTAATTTTTTGGCCAAATTTGATGAAAAATGTAAGGCTAACCCCTTACATTTTTTTCAATTTTGGCCAAAAAATTAAATTGCGCCAAACTTCCAGGAAAGATGCCTAAGAGACTCTAGAAGACATTCCAGCTCGATTGGTGTACTGATGTGCCGTTAGACAGGAACAATGCATCGAAAATTTGGGTAAAAATCAGTGAAAAATATGATTTTTTTTTCTCAATAAATCGATTATTTCTGCCCAAATCTTCGAAATAATGGCAGTCTGAATATTGTATGATACTCTCCTTGCATCTAAAGTCATTTCTGCGTCGTTCGGAGAAAAGTCATTTTTTGGTCAAATTTGATGAAAAATGTAAGGCTAACCCCTTGCATTTTTTTCAATTTTGGCCAAAAAATTAAATTGTGCCAAACTTCCAGGAAAGATGCCTAAGAGACTCTAGAAGACATTCCAGCTCGATTTGTGGACTGATGTGCCGTTATACAGGAACAATGCATCAAAAATTTGTGTAAAAATCATTGAAAAATATGATTTTTTTCTCAATTAATCGATTATTTCTGCCCAAATCTTCGAAATAATGGCAGTCTGAATATTGTATGATACTCTCCTTGCATCAAAAATCATTTCTGCGTCGTTAGGAGAAAAGTCATTTTTTGGCCAAATTTGATGAAAAATGTAAGGCTAACCCCTTGCATTTTTTTCAATTTTGGCCAAAAAATTTAATTGCGCCAAACTTCCAGGAAAGATGCCTAAGAGACTCTAGAAGACATTCCAGCTCGATTTGTGGACTGATGTGCCGTTAGACAGGAACAATGCATCGAAAATTTGGGTAAAAATCAGTGAAAAATATGATTTTTTTTCTCAATAAATCGATTATTTCTGCCCAAATCTTCGAAATAATGGCAGTCTGAATATTGTATGATACTCTCCTTGCATCAAAGGTCATTTCTGCGTCGTTTGGAGAAAAGTAATTTTTTGGCCAAATTTGATGAAAAATGTAAGGCTAACCCCTTACATTTTTTTCAATTTTGGCCAAAAAATTAAATTGCGCCAAACTTCCAGGAAAGATGGCTAAGAGACTCTAGAAGACATTCCAGCTCGATTTGTGGACTGCTGTGCCGTTAGACAGGAACAATGCATCGAAAATTTGGGTAAAAATCATTGAAAAATATGATTTTTTTTCTCTTTAAATCGATTATTTCTGCCCAAATCTTCGAAATAAAAGCAGTCTGAATATTGTATGATACTCTCCTTGCATTAAAGGTCATTTCTGCGTCGTTTGGAGAAAAGTAATTTTTTGGCCAAATTTGATGAAAAATGTAAGGCTAACCCCTTACATTTTTTTCAATTTTGGCCAAAAAATTAAATTGCGCCAAACTTCCAGGAAAGATGCCTAAGAGACTCTAGAAGACATTCCAGCTCGATTGGTGTACTGATGTGCCGTTAGACAGGAACAATGCATCGAAAATTTGGGTAAAAATCAGTGAAAAATATGATTTTTTTTTTCAATAAATCGATTATTTCTGCCCAAATCTTCGAAATAATGGCAGTCTGAATATTGTATGATACTCTCCTTGCATCTAAAGTCATTTCTGCGTCGTTCGGAGAAAAGTCATTTTTTGGTCAAATTTGATGAAAAATGTAAGGCTAACCCCTTGCATTTTTTTTCAATTTTGGCCAAAAAATTAAATTGTGCCAAACTTCCAGGAAAGATGCCTAAGAGATTCTAGAAGACATTCCAGCTCGATTTGTGGACTGATGTGCCGTTATACAGGAACAATGCATCAAAAATTTGTGTAAAAATCATTGAAAAATATGATTTTTTTCTCAATTAATCGATTATTTCTGCCCAAATCTTCGAAATAATGGCAGTCTGAATATTGTATGATACTCTCCTTGCATCAAAAGTCATTTCTGCGTCGTTTGGAGAAAAGTCATTTTTTGGCCAAATTTGGTGACAAATGTAAGGCTAACCCCTTGCAATTTTTTTTATTTTGGTCAAGAAATTAAATTGCGCCAAACTTCCAGGAAAGATGACTGAGAGACCCTAGAAGACATTCCAACTCGATTGAAACTTGCTAGAGAGATGCCTAAGGAGCCCTTGAACACATTCCAACTCGATTGATGGATTGAAGTGCTATTTCAAAAGAAAAATTGCGTTGAAAATATGGGTTGAAAATTATTGATCTTTTTTTTTCAAAGTCGATGATTTTTCCCCAAATCTTAAAAATCTTGGGTGTTTCAATATAAATTGAGGGTCCTCCTGCATCCAAAGGAATTTCTGCCTTGATAGGGGAAAAGTCAATTTTTTGACCAAATTTGGATCAAATGTAAGGTTAACCCCTTACATTTTTGTCAAAAAATTAAATTGCTTCAAACTTGCTGGAAAGATGTTTGAGGGGCCCCAGAACACATTCCAACTAGATTTAAGGATAAAAAATATTAATCAAAAGAAAAATGGTGTCGAAAATATTGCGTGAAATCAGTCAAAATGTTTTATATTTTGTTCGAAATTTTATTATTGATTATTTTTATTAGTCTTAAAAATATTTCTCGTTTGAATATATGGTGATGCTTCATCTTCCAAGGGAACTTCTGCCTTTTAATTTTCCTGAAACTTGCAGGAAAGTTATTTAAGGGGCCAAAAAGCAATCCTACTCGATTTATGGACAAAAGTACAATTCAAAAGAAAAATAGCATCTAAAAATGGGTAAACAATCAAGGATTTTTGCTCAAATCTTACAAATATTTGGTGTTTGATGAGAACTTGATGCACTTCTTGCAGAAGGATTTCAAATTTTAACCTTTATATAATTTCTACAAAATTTGGACAAATTAGATACAAAAACTGCTTGACATATATTATGGAATACTTTTATTCTTTTTTGAACTGTTAAATGCACCTCAAATGCACTTGAAGTGCAAAATTTGCTTGTACAAAATTGATTAATGGTTGGTAAGCGTCTGATGTCCATCATCATTTCAGCCTTTTATATACAACAGTCAAATTGTTGACAAAAATATGAACACATTGCAACGTCTGAACAAGAACAACTTTCTGCAAGATGCAAGTCACTTTCATTCAAAGACACACTGTCATGTGATTGATACCTCAGTTTTTGTTTAAACTTTATGTATAAATACCTAAGACAGTTTACCCATTCCTATTGGTCGAGAGCCCGTCACGTGGCCGGTCTTAAACGGATGATAAAGACATGGCTGGCTGGTCTTAAACACTTTTCCAGTGTCACATGAAATTTGGTATCCTATGAAATCCGGTGCCTTTTACTGTTTTATTGGTTGAACAATCACAATCCTCACATAGACATGCACAACACTACCAGTTAGTCAGTATTTCAAAGTTTTAAAATTACAATGCACTTTTCACAACTGCTCCAATCTCTATAAAAAGAGTTGTTTACGGCTTACTCGCAAGCAGGACACTCCATTACATAGCTTGAGGGGTGTTTAAAAAAACAGGTAGAATTCTTGAACAAAATCGTGGGAAGTTTTTAATTTATGACTTGTTTTGACTTTTGGACAGAAAAGTTCTGATTTTTGACCGAAAAGGTTTTTATGAATTTCGGCTCCGGTAATTATCAGCATTCCAGACTCCAACCAGTCTTAAACAGTGTTTAACACTTCCCAAGCACACCTTTATTCCCTTAGTATAGTTCAAAGGTTCAAAGGTCATCATGGTGTAAAGGTGAGATTCATTGGTGACAGCTGTCCGGGCGTCCCACCGTCGCTGATACTGAGCGGTTGACGGGTGACAGACCCTACATCAGCCGCCTCTTTGTTGTCTGCTGACCCCGCCTCCTCAACGGCACGTAGCTGGGATATCTCAGTCTGGATCGCTTTGCCCTCTTCTCTTGTCTGGAAAGGAGTGAATTGAAAATGAAAATCTGTTTTTAACACCAAATTACTGAGGTGTTTTCTTTGAGTTTATCTGCGGGAAAAACTTGATTTGTGAATCGAGGTTTCACAAGTACTAGCTCTTGTTCTTACGATACAGGTTGAAGTCAAGTTCAGGGATCTAGTGGCTGTGTCCACGAGCAAGGCATTTTACCGCAATTATGTCCTTGTCAGGAAGCCAACAGGTGTATCTAACAGCAGAGGTGATTTTTTTTTGGGGGGGGGGCAAAAATTGAACAGAGATAATCTCCAAAATTTAACCTTTATATCACTCTAGCCAGTTGCAAAAAGCAGACATCCCATGGAACAAAGGACTTCATAAATAGGGCTGAATAGCTTGAGGTGAAAAAAAATGCAGAAAGTCTCGTGTCTCAATATGCAAGATTTCAAAATACAACTATTCACTTGTTACGTACCTCAGTGTATTCACAGCACTTGTGGGCGTAGTTACTGGCCTCTTCAAAGTTGCGTCGTTTCAAGTGATACGTCGCCAGAAATCGATAAGCGTCACACTGCTCCTCAACCATCCCCGTCTTAACGAAAAATAAAACAGTAATATTGAGATGAGCAACATTTCTATTTCCCCAAAGGTTTTCCTCAGTCAACGCCACAAAACTGTCAGACACATCTCTAACCCGAACTCCCTGGCATGATTTACTAGGAACCATACCTATCCTGGCAAATTCCAACACCATATGGGAAACTGCGCACGCATATTTCTGACTTAGTTTCTGGAGGTGTGCCAACCCAATGTAAAAGACTGTCAGTTTAGGGGTACTGTACCCATCCAGACAGATTCCATCAATACATGCTGTTGGGGTTTGATGGGTTGAGTTCTGTTAGGGTTAAAAAAAATGGCTCCCCTCAACAAATTTTTTTCGAACAGTTGAATTTTCAAGACCTGCAGCCAACTCACCCCCATGGCCTCAGACTGCTCCACATATTTTGTGTAGAACTGAGCGGCCTTTTCCTCCTCCCCCTGTGCCTCATGCAGCTTGGCCAGCTTGATGAGTGCCGTACCCTCGATGTCACCCACCGAGTACGCCCTCCAGTAACACTTCTTGGCCTCCTGGATCTTCTCCAGTTTCTCGTAGCTCTCACCGAGCGCCACCAGCATGCGGGAATCATTGGGCCTGTATGGAAGTAAAAAGGTTGATTTCCATGGGTTGATCATTGCCTCACATTTGAAAATAGCTGCAATTTTATTTATTTCTCTTAATTTTTTTTTTTTAATTTATTTCTTTTTTTTAACGACATGACCTCTGACCATATTTGACACTTTTCTTCACATGGAATGACAAGTAAGCGAAAAAACAATGAAAATTATGCATTAAGTTAAAGCAGAGCAATTAGAGAGTTTGAAACTGACAATATACTTAAATTTGTTCAGTAATGTGTAGCCTCCCAAGTCAAATTTGCAAAACGGTGTAACTCTACCTGATATTCATGCAAGCAATTTCAAATTGCAGTATTTTTTCCAACTGAAATGATTTGGGACTTGGGAGGCTACACATTACTGAATATCACCTGTCTTTTACCTGATTTGCTGTGCCTGTCTGTAGTAATATAGGCTATATGACGGCATGCGGAGGATCTCGTAGGTCTGTCCAAGGCAGTACCAGGCACGGAAATCCCTCTTGTTCAATTCTGTTAAAGGTCAATCGTAACAATTATGAGACCAAAATGTAACTCATTGTGTTCCAAATAAACAAAGAAATAACAAACAAACAAACAAAAACCAGACAATTTATCACAGCAAAAATATAAAATTCTGACGAGTGTCTGTGCTGAGGCAGCTCTAATAATAAATTGCAATCTACAATGACACCACTGTTTTCTCATGAATACGGAAACTTGAACTAGCATGAAAAACATAAAAACAAAAACACTTCTCGAAATGGGAAATAAAGACTAAAACGTAAGGTTGAAGCAGATGCAAAACTGAATTTCAAGGATAAAATTCGATCAAAAAGTCCCTTCCTTGCATGAAAAAGATTAAGAAAATACCAATGACAGTCCTCTTCACAATTCTTTGTTTTTTACCAGAACGGCTAGCCTCCTGTCCTCTGATTATTACTGAGCCACTGAATGACTGACTGAGCCACTGACTGACTGTCTGGAGTCATGAATAATGTCCTAAACTGACTCTTCTAGATCCAACTCTACGAGGCAAGCCTGCTCTTTTTCTCAATCAAATCCAATTATTTCCCCAAGTTCCTACCTATCGCCTGCCTGTAGGCTTCAATAGCAGCCGGCGTGTTCTTCATCTCCATATATTCATGACCCATCAGAGTCCAAGCAGACAGATAGTGAGGATTGAGCTTCAACGCTCGCTGGAAGTACAAGACGGCTTTCTCGTGCTGAGATCTCAGCGAGTAGTAGTTACCTAAACAGAATTGACAAAATGGAAATGCTATTATTAACCCATTACTCCGAAGGCATTTTTAGCTCAACAAATCATCCTGTCTCTCCGTTAGTTAGTTAGTTAGTTAGTAACAAACATTGACATTGTCTATTGCTCCTACATATTTTGACCGATTTCAACCAAACTTTGTCAAAAGTATCAGTAGCCCAGACCCAACATGTCACATGACCAAACTGGGGTCAAAGGTCATCATGGGGTCAAAACCCTGATTTTTTTTTACTCGAAACACTACTCCTTCCAGAAATTACATTGTACAATCACGTGACTCATGCATGAGCACGAATTCATTGGCCCGCAGCTTCTGAGATATTTCCGATGTGGCTTGTTTTTAATCTTCCTGAATCCTCGAAAATTCACCACTGTAATCGTTCTTACCAATAACACAGCATGTCTCCACTCTGTACTTGTCCACCTCGCATACATGGTGTGCCAGAAAACTCAACTCTGCTTTCATTTCCTGAAACGGACAATTGCCAACATCGGATAAAAACTATATCTTCAAATATAACCACATGAATCAAAAAGTATTGATATTAGTGATCAAAGACCATTCTGATGTTTTATTCAACAAAAATAAAACTACAAATTCATGACGTTATTTTCTTAGCATCATCAGATTCTTATTTTTAGGTGTACAAATTACATGGTCAGTTTTCCTACCTTGACATACAAAAGGTTGGAATAAATGTCCATGTTCTCCAGACGGTAGGGGTCAACTTTCTGTAACTGTCCAAACAACTCCACAGCTCGATTCATATCTAAAAGACAGAAACAGTTCAGGGGGACATTCTGAGAATAATGAAACATGACTGAGTTTAACCTACATTTTGAGATAACTCAAGCAGTACTGCAGTAATCATGAAATTGCTCTGACTGTACTTTATTGACCCAAACTCTATGGTCATTTTTTTTCTAGGGGCACCATAAAGAAACAGTTGATGGGGTTCACCTTCCCTAATGCCACAAACCCTTCCAAAACCACCTGATGAGGGAATTTGAAAGATCTGGGCAGATTGAGGTAAACATCCACTATGAATAATCATTATCATCAATATGAATATTCTCAATCATGAAAAGAACTGACCTATGACACTTGATCAACCAGATGAACCAATCTGTTAGACAAATGCTATGGCTGACCTCAGCCACTCCTAACATGAATATTTATCATTATGCAAATTATGCAAATGCCTGACCTCTGACACTGTGATGGGCCAAGGCAATCTGGGAGATGACGTAAGTGCTCTGGCTGAACCCAGCCTCGCTGAGGGCAGTGTATTTCTTCAGAGCTTCTTCGTTCAGATGCAGCTCAAGGTACGCCTGAGCGACAAAGAATTCCTTGATCCACAGATCCGGCAGAGCGAGTGTATTCAGCTGAAAGGAAAAAACATACAACATTAAAAAAGGAATGCAAAAAACCTGTCCAGCCATCTCATCATCTAAATAGCAAATCTGCAATGAAAGAAATACACGAAGAAATGTACAGCCGTGTCTGAATTCACATGGCTATGGCTAGCTGTAACACACATGTCTATGGGAAATGGCTGCAGCCACTTCCATAGTCGCATGTTGATTACAAGCCATGGCTAAGTTATTTGGATGTGCCTACTTTTACCTTGTCCTTGTCTGTAACCAGACTAGTCAGTTCCATCCATGCACCCCAGTGGTATGGTTCCAGCCTCACAGCCTCCAACAACACACTCTCTGCATCCTTCAACAGTTCTAACTTCTTCAGTACAATTCCATACCTTTGGGATAAGATTATTTTCGTAAAAATTTCATACCTTAATTTCAGCCACCATAATATGGTCTTCAGATCACAAGTCCTCACAAGTCAAACACAAGCCGATCACAAGTCAATCACAAGCTGATCACAAGTCAATCATAAGTCAATTACAAGTCAATCACACACCAATCATAAGTCAATCGCAAGTCAATCACGAGTTTATCACAAACCAATCACAAACCAATCATAAGTCAATCGCAAGTAAATCACAAGCTGATCAAAAGTCAATCAAAATTCAATCACAAGTCAATCACAAGTCAAATCACAACTCAATTCCAAACCTATTTAGTCTGAATTTATGACTAGGTACATAACTTGTTATGGATATCTGAGATTATCTTGACTCACAGGTACAGGCAGAAGCCATCCAGTTTGTTCAAAGCATATTTCTTGCTCAGTTCAATGCGTAGTGCCTTCAGGGTCTCATTCTTCATGGACTTGTACTGAATCGGTCCCGTCAGGTCTGCAACTTCATCATATTTCTTCTTCTCTCCGCCCTGAAAGAAAATGTAGTAAACTACACTCAAAACTGCTCATCATTGTATGATTTTTTTTCTTTTCTTTTTTGTTTACTTATAAACATTATGTTATGTAATAATGAATCCAAGCATTTCCCTAGATTGTCTCAGAGTCTGTACTCCAGAAAGTAGGCTGAAGAAATCTTTGATACATAATTTTAGAACATGCTAAGTTTCAGAACAAAAACCTCTGACAGATATTCCTTAGGAAAAAACTAAAAAGTAGGATATAAAACATAGTGTACAGATCAGCAAGGGTAGGATTCTAAGCCCGTCCCAGTTTCAAAGAACTGCGAAGCACAGAAATTTACTAAGCAATATTTCTACTGAGATTAGCAGAACATGTTGCTCAAACAATTTCTATGCTCAAAAAAAAAAAACCTGACCCTGCTTACCAAATATCGAGCATAAACATGGAGAAAGTAGGCCTTGGGGCTTTGACACTTGTCAACAAAGTAAGCCGCTCGGTCATACTCTCTGAGGTCGAAATAGGACTTGGCAAGAGTGTACTCGTCAAACTCAGCTATGAAGTCCTGCAAAAAGAAAGACAAAAACTGTAAGGCAACACATATGTGTAGGTAATTATTAAAGAAGTTATGGTTGACGATAAGAGGTCCTCCCAGTGCTAACAAGCACAGAGATACAATGTAATGTCAATTTAAGAAAATTAGATGGCATGCTATGTAAACCACACCTACACCTACCTCAGTGTCCTCTATTTGGTCCGTTGGTTCTAGCGGCGTAGACTTGACAGATTTCAGAGCGAATGATAACTCAGCACACCTTAACAAATAAAAAAGTATTTGACCAGTTTGAATATAGGCCCTACAATTACAAATCGTCAAATGTTTGAAAAAAGGGTTAAAAATGTCAAGTTGTTGATCTTTGAAAGAATGATGTTTGACATTCTAATTAATATTTTCACTATACTGTCGGCTATAATTAATCAATTGCATCGGTATGGGATGTCCAAAGTGCAAAAATGCAAGCAAAGCACTCACTATTGTATTGAGTCAATCCTACACGCAAATCAACTGTCCGGAAACTGGGCCCTCTTTGATCTTTTCTTATTTGTCAATTGAAATTATATTCACTATCACAGCTGCACTAACCATTTCACACTTTGTGAAAGACCCCTCTGCGAACATACTCTGATACTCCTCTGCAAATCACGCTTGACATCTGACAAATTGATGTCCAGACCTCGACTTTGCGAGCTCAAAATCGCCGCCATGATCGCCCCAGAAACAACAAACAGCCGTCGGCAAAGAATTTATACACAAGTCTCGCATCTAGACTGCGATACATTTTTCCCACACGTTTAGACTCGTGACGAATGACGAAACGCATTTTGGATCCCGACTATATCGAAACAAGATGGCGGCCTCCATGATTAGACGAGTAATGCAATCGCTGCCGATTTTTCGTAGCAAAGTTCCGGTTTTCACCACCAATCGTCAAATTTTACAGTCACTGAAGCCACAGACTGCGATATGCAGAACCATCACACAACAACAGATGGAAAAGAACAAGAAACAGTTCCAGAAACGGATGTTTCAGTACCTTATGGTGATAGTGATTGTGGCTGTAATTTCGCCGTACGTACGTGACCTACGGTTTGCCAGCTTCGAGCCTCGTCGAGACAAAAAGCGCCGAAAACTACAGGCCTTGAAAGAAGCAGAAGAACGTGAGAAACTTGGTGACAATTTTCAGCAGACTGAAAGTGATCATAATATCAGTTCGAGTGATGATTCATTTAGGCCGATCACTCAGGAGGAACAAAGCAGTGTTTTCCCTGTGGTCAAAGCAGCCAAAGTTTTTGATGAGGGTGATGGCTACGTTCCTCCCCGCTCAAACCGATTCAACTTCATCGCTGATGCAGTGGATATAGCAGCACCTTCTGTAGTCTACATAGAAATACAAGGAAGGTCAGATAAAAGTCAACTACATGTTGTAAAATAAAACGAATATAAGAAGTAATTGTTAGGCCTATGTCTAAATTGTTAAATTTTGATTGATTGACAAATGATTGAGCTTCAATTGAACATGATGAAGATTGTTAGTTTTATATGCATCATTCATATTTATAATGTAGTCTAATTTGAAGAAAATATTATTTTGCAAATGGTTGTTTTAATTAAATGTTTTTTTATTAATCATTTGCATTGGAAAAAAATCACCTGAAAGACCATAAATAAACCTAAAGATTAAAACCAATCATCTTTTAGTCTGTTATGGCCCAGAAAAGGTCTCTTTACATTTGTAGTTGCCACATTAATATATCAAATTATTTATACATGTATTTAAATTGTGTGTGTCCCTATTTTCACGCCATACTCCATTCTACTTTTCAGGCATCCTATGATGGGCAGGCAACAGGTATCAATCTCCAATGGGTCTGGTTTCATCGTCAGCCAAGACGGCCTCATACTCACCAATGCCCACGTGGTTGCCAACAAGATCCGGGGCCCGCAGTCAGTCAAGGTCAAGCTTCCAGATGGGCGGATGGTCGACGGCCACGTGGTCGCAGTGGACTCTGTGTCCGACCTGGCAGCTGTCAAAATTGATGATGGTGTATGTGTACATTCTAAGTTATCTGGTGTGGTGTGGTCCACAGCAATATTTTAGTCAAGTCCATGCGAGTAAATTACAAGTCAATCAAGTCAGTCACAAGTTTTCATGGGAGGAGTCAGGTTGGCGCAGTGGTTACTTTCCTCGCCTTCCATCGCTATGGCCTGGGTTCGATTCCTGCCCTGACCACATGTGGATTGGGTTTTCAGTCCCTACCTGATTCGGTAGGTTCCCCCCAGAAATATTCTTCTGGGGTTTTCCTCCCACCTCCAAAACTGTAATTTCCTCTCATTGTCTTCTCTCCACAGGTTTCTTCAGGCTTTCGAGCTACAGTGCCTAGGGCACTTTTGAGGAATCCTTAGTGTCATTTCCAGAAAGAAACAAAAATTAAAAAATAAGCAAATCCTACAGTTTTAAATCAAGTTACAAAATATTCAAATGATCCTGCTAGTTGTGACTTGACTGGTGATTGAATTAAGGTTTGACTTGTGATTGACTTGTTTTCAGAATTTCCATAAGTCTGTTTTCCTAGTTATAGAAAATGAACCAATGAGCCTTTATGGTTCCTGTTGTCTAACTTCCTGATTAAACCAGTATTTTATCCTAGATCTTGACTTGTGCAGTCAATTCTGGCAAATGTATCCAAGTTTCCAACTCTGCCTTTTTTTTTAAACTTGGACACACAGAAGAATCTGCCGGTCATGAAGCTAGGCAAGTCTTCCCATCTACGGCCGGGCGAGTGGGTGATTGCCATGGGTAGTCCCCTGACGCTAAGTAACACCATCACAGCGGGCATTGTCAGCACCGTCAGCCGAACCAGCAAAGAACTAGGACTCAGCAAAGACATTGACTACATCCAGACTGATGCTGCTATCAACGTGAGGATCTGTTTGAATAATATTATTTATTTCCCCCATCAGTTCAGTTTATTTCAATCCAAAATCAACACTTGCTTCTATTACTGTAGTAATAATACTATGTGAAAGATTATCCAAAATTGAATCTTAAGTTCAAAGCTTGAAGTGCAGACAAGATATTTTCTGCTTTCCCAAGTCCTGGTGTCTTGAACTGAAGAGCAATTTTTCCATTCGGTCATCCTAAAGGATTTAGTTCCTTTTATCCTCCTAGTTTGGCAATTCCGGTGGTCCACTAGTCAACCTGGACGGAGAGGCCATAGGAATCAACACCATGAAAGTCACTTCCGGGATTTCCTTTGCCATTCCCATTGACAATGCCCGGGAATTCCTGGAGGAAGTCCAGAAGAGGATGAAGTCAGGAGGTACGGTAGGACTGGAGTGCTCCATGATTTTCTCAAGACTAGTGTTGCCATCAATTTCAATTACATCATAAGTCTAGTAACAAAACAAGTAAATCACAAGTCAATTTACAAGTCCAGTCACAAGTAACAGGGGTCAGGGGATGAACAATAACAAAGGAATATCCTTGTCACATGTCATCTTTGAACAGCTTGTGAGTTGACTTATGATTGCCTTGTGACTGACTTGCGATTGACTTGTGATGGACTTGTGATTGACTTGTGATTGACTTGTGAGGGACTTGTGAGAGACTTGTGATTGACTTGTGAGAGACTTGTGATTGACTTGTGATGGACTTGTGATGGACTTGTGATTGCCTTGTGATGGACTTGTGATGGACTTGTGATGGACTTGTGATGGACTTGTGATTGCCTTGTGACTGACTTGCGATTGACTTGCGATGGACTTGTGATTGACTTGTGATTGACTTGTGACTGACTTGTGACTGACTTGTGATTGACTTGTGATTGACTTGTGACTGACTTGTGACTGACTTGTGATTGACTTGTGATTGACTTGTGACTGACTTGTGACTGACTTGTGACTGACTTGTGACTGACTTGTGACTGACTTGTGATTGACTTGTGATCAATCACAACAGCGTCGACTACATCTCTGACCCTGTACCGGGCTAGGGTATCCCATAAATCCTGATAAAATTCTTTTGTCAACAAAGTTTCTGTTCAAGAAAGAAATTGAGGTGAAAATCAAACCTGGCATAGAATCAGATTAATCATCGAAAAACAACAGAGTTATCCAGCCCTAGGATTGCAGTAGTTATATTTATCATCGCTATGTGGTGTTTATCATTTACATAGATTAAGCACTAATATGACCATCAATGCCACTCAAAGAGTATCCAATTTGCACATTTTATTGTTATTTTGTTGTTTTTTTTTCTCTCAAGATGCCAGCCAGGGGTGGACAGGCTGGTTCGCAGGTGGCAAGAAATCCCCCAGCACACAGGGTGACAAACGGGGTTACATCGGCATCACCATGCTGACCTTGAACCCCGGCCTACTCAATGACCTCAAGTCCAGGATGGCCGACTTCCCCAATGTTTCACATGGTGTGCTGGTCTACAGGATCATCGTTGGATCTCCTGCTCAAGTGTAAGTACAAAAAACAATTGCCCCAAAAAGTAGAAGTGGTTGAGGGTTGGATCCTTGATGTAAGCAGCGAACTAAAGATCTTGATAAGCCAGCTGTACCTAGGAGTTACTTGCTTTTGTCCGTTATTGGAATTGGACTAGCCACAGTGTTTACCAAAAAATGTGTTGATTGAATTTTTGACTGTCTAGTTAGCAGATGGTGTTAAGCAACTGTTTTGCCAATGAATTGACTAATTGGAACGATCCATTTAATCACAGGGCAGGCATGAAGGCTGGTGACATCATCACCCACATTGACGGCAAGCCAGTCAAGTCAGCCACGGCAGTCTACAACGCTGTGCACACCCTGCAGAAAATGGAAGTGGCGGTCGTTAGGGGTTCCAGCTCACAAAAGTTGACCCTGACACTTATGCCTGAGGAAGCCCAGTGATGTCGTATTCAGAGGTCAAAGGTCTAATGAGTCCTTCCCGGATGCATGTGAAACGTGCATTAAAGTCGACAGCGATAAGTTTTCACTGTAATGCGCCAGTACCTAAAAGAAAGCAATTAACAAGAAAACCTGATTTGAACACGGCTGTACACTGAGTTCAGGTGAAGTTTAAGGTCAAAGTTTACTGACAGTTGTTACCTTTGTAAGAAGATGGTTGTGAGTTTGAAAGTTAAAAGACTTGAATGTGGGAAGGTTTTCCAACCTCAGTTTATCTCCAGTTCCAGAATAAACTCAACTATGGTTAATACAGATTTGGTTGTAAACAAACTTCTGGTTAAAATGGGAATTCTCGGTCCCGACCGTGCTCTTACATGCACAATGAATGGGAAACCAGCGTTTCTTCAACTCTTCAGCTACTGTAGCGCCGAAAAGTGCCCGAGCACTCAATGGTTTTATTGATTTTTCAGTGAATACAATGAAGTCCAGGTGCCAACGGGCCTGAATCCTCCAATTTTAATACGATTTTGCACACCTCCTAGGGAGTTAGGATATAAATTTGGATATAAAAAAAAACATTTTGGCTGGATCGTGACGATTTTTTATCAATTGGAATGCACTTTAATTAAGGAGCTTTTAATGTCCGTACACGTGCTGCTTTTGACCTATTATATCATTTGGACGTTCATTAGCAGAAAGTGGACCCGGTACGAAGTCCATGTCTCCCATGTTAGGGACCTAAAAATCGGCTGAACGCCAAAACCAAGCCCATGTTCCAAAATCTCCCACGTTGATACCAAAAGATTTAATTTATGGTGGTTGGATACAACTTTACTGCTTGATATTGGCACAAACAAGGTCACAATTTATTGTCATCAAGGGTTTAAAAGTCCGAAAACCTTTTTCTTTTCACTTTATGCCACTCTGCTGTGTAATAAACTTGCACCTTTAGGGTTTAGAGTTTTTACAGTGGAAGTAAATGTATTATAAGTCAACGATGTATTTGTTGATGTGTTTTTAGTGATGTGAATCAATAAAAAAAACTTTGAGAGAAATTACTTGTCAATCAAAATGGAGGTATCTCATAATTTGCAGGTTTTGCTCACATTCAGCATGAAGGAACTCTTGTACCAGAAAAGACGTACACACACACACACTGTAGGTTATAAACAAATTGCTAATATTTATTTACTTGGGATGAAAAATTTCAAATTACGTTAGATATTATTCTCTAAGTATGTAATGTGAAAAACATCTCAATATATATGAGTGTTTGTAGGCTCACATCAGCAGCCATGAAATATACATGCCTTAACATACCACATATCAAAATATTTAATTAAAATTCAAAATTATAAAAAAAACAAAGATAGAAACATTTTTAATGCATAATCCAAATTAATAATTGCACAATCATATAGTAACACGTTCTGTTAGACAAAAGTGGAGATAATTTTTTTTTTTAAATCACGAGACAAAGTTTCTCAGCTTATAATCTGTTTATGATGACTAGTTTTTGATGAAACATGAAAAAAATAATCTTACTCTTGCAAGAAATTTGTGTTTCAACACTCGTACTGCGAACACGCATGCCATTTAGGCCATGTCCGAAAGGGGCTTCCAGAGCTACGGCTACGTCTATTGTCAGCGCGTCCCCGCGTATTTTCAATGGGCGCAGACCTAGACCTAGCTCTAGACAGCCGATTCGAATGCAGCCTCACAAACACTGCAGCCATCTTGTCTGGTGCCCTGAAGGTGAAGGTGTTGCTTGTTACCCTGATTTCCCTTACATCATGTCAAGCACCAGTCTATTTGCATCACAATTAATCAGTAGCCAAGTCTGATTTACTTGGTTGTATTATTGACCTTAGCAAACATGGGGAATAGTGGCTAACGGTATACAATGTATAAATTTGACAAAATATATTCAATACATTTTCATTTATCTTTTAAAAGGGTCTTTAAGCAGATTATATGAGACTTTCTTTATCCAGTTAAGAAAGCAAAGATGGCTATAACAGCATGAAGGACTACATGTACATGTATTTAGAAATGTGCCCCTTTCAATAAAATAATGAGCACAACACATTGTTGAAACCTTAGAAAGATTACAGCAAACAGCAAAAATAAACATTGGCTGTAAAGCACGACAAACTTGGCAAAGCAATATTTTCAAGCTTTGCAGCACCATGCATGAAATTGGGCCATCATTTGTGCACCTTGAAGTTTGGTTGTACATGTTATGTACATGTATGGCTTTTAAAATAATGATAACGGTGTTTTGCTCATTTTTTTACTTCTCGTGAATGCCATTACAAATTGAAAAACAATGTACAAAGTGTTGTGTAGTTTGGAATTTCCTGGTTTTTTAAAATAAATTCCCAGTTGCATGCCTGGGGCTTGTGTTCTTGGGCAAGACATATTACTACAATTGCCTCTCTCCACCCAGGAGTACAAATGGGTACCTGTGAAGGTAGAGACCATATTGAACTGATCTTGAGCTGCTGCAGAAAAATGGTCTCATTCCTGATGAACAGGGATAATAATTGTAAAGTGCATTGAAACCTTAGGTATAAAGAGCTATATAAGCACCACATTATTAATATTATTATTATTATTTTTAATAAGTCACACAGCGCGGTGTACAGTCCCTTCTGAGTCCAGACCTCAATCTTATCTCAACTCTTACCGCTTTTGAAACTCTGTCTAAAAAGGTTGTCATAGTTTGATATCAGAATAAACAAAAATACAGTGTGAAATAAAGACTCTTTTACAATCAACATCACAAGTCTCAAAATGAAAAAGAAGTTTGGCAGCATAAATGGTTAATTTGACAGATGCCTGTCATATATGGCAGCCTATATAATCAATAATCGTCACTTTAAAAAATATGACATTAAAAAAAGTGACAAAATGTATCTAAAAGCTGACGAACAGTACAAATATTACTTACAAATATATTCTATATCTTCTTTGTAAATATTTACAGACATGCCTACTCATAAAGCGTCTACATATTGTGAACAGATCCTAACAGTGTTAATCAAAACGAGATATTTGATCAAGTACAATGCCAACTGTCGCAATATATGTGGAGTGCCGTGGCATCGTGGTCTGGAGCATTGAATTTGTGGTCTGCAGGTTGTGGGTTCGAGTCCAGCCCGGGGTTATGGTGCGTGTGCCCTTGAGCAAGGTGCTTTGTCACTCATTGCTTCTCTCCACCCAGGAGTAGATGGGTACCTGTGAGGGCAGAGTTGGTGACTATGAGAGGTTGATTACGGCCAAGAGCGCCAAAATGGCTGCCTACCGGCTGTGTATGCTCCCTAGAGAGTTGAGAAGGTTTCAGGAGTGTTTGCCTGTTGAACAAGGGTAATAATAATTATAAAGCGCCTTGATACCTCGTTTAAAAGTGATATATAAATGCCTTATTTTTATTATTATTTTGAAGACAAGGTTTTTAATCAAAAGTGGAACCATGTTCAATACTCCTTTGCGAGGATCTTGTATAAATAAATAATTGTACATAAAACTTTCAATGACCACTGACATTGAGTGTGAGACATTTACATGCACTGTTCCTGATCTGGTCATAAGCCCTGCCCACAAGTCCCGCCCACAAGCCCCGCCCACCTTTGGTTTGTGTGCATTTCCCACAGTGCTTGCGAACGAGTTTGACCAAGCTACTCTTATTGGTCAATGAGCGCCGTTTGATTAGCAGACAGGAAGTGTGCATTGACTGGCGAGTTACAACAAGATGCTTATTTTGACTGACCAACGATGAGATTTCAAGAGATTCCCATGAAACTAACCAGCCTCCCGTCAGTGCATCTGGTCCACACGGCAAAATTCTCCCGTGTCCAGATTCTTGGCCATGACCTGGTTCGGGTCAAGGTTCGGGATCTTGTGCTCCACATGGACTCTGTTGTTACACATATCCTGAAGACAAAAAAAAATAATGAATTAATTTTGTCCAAATTCAAGTAAGAAACTCTTGTATTTAGTAAAACTCATTTTGGTTTAGATGTGTTTTTGGAAAGAATGTAGTATCCAGACGCTACTTCTTTGGTTGTGTACAAGTCTATGGAGAGTTCGGTGCATTTTCAAAGTATTTTCTAACAAAATTGGAAATGTTTCTCAGTCCCAGATTCATGTCTTTTCAACATTTTTTGCATTGACCGGCCTTCATTGAGAAAAGATATGAGAAAAAGTGGAGTCAGGATGCAATATTCTTTCAGGGTTTTATAAGCATGTGTAATTCGGTATCCTTGTACTTTTGCTGTCACTCCTAAATTTCAGGATCAAAATTTGACGGAAGAAGGATTCGAACCCCATACCTCTGGAATGTCATACTGGCACTATATTCACTTAATTATAATCCAGCACTATGTATGCAAACCACCAAACTTTACGCTAACTAATTGGAAGACTGCCAGCACATGGCTGAATAGCTCAGTTGGTGGAGCACAGATACAATATTCCAGAGGCCGCAGGTTCGAATCCAATCTAGCAATAAAAAGAAGACACTAACCTTAAGGTATCTGATACCAGCGAAAGTGATCATGGTACAGCCCGATGCATACAGACTCTTCAAGTCAGGGCAGGAGTTGGCTAAGGCTAAGACGCACCTATCCGTGATCTTATGAATGCCCGAGATGACCACGTGCTGTAGAGTGCAGCATCGCACCAGGTCAAGCAGTCCTGCATCCGTCACCTAAAGCATCGTAACGACAAATTAAAACCTTCAGTAAGTCAACACAAATTATGAGTGAATCTGAAAGAAGTTGAGGACATTTTGGAAAGGATAGTGTCATTTCATTTCCCACATATTAGCATGTTGGTCAGTGCTCTCTCAGAGTTTGTGAATAAATAATTCACAATCTTCCTTGAAAGAACATAATTTGGTTGTGAATTTTTCTCGTGCAAGCTCAGGAGCACCTACTGTACAGTGTTCTCAACATTACATTGGTCAAGGGAAGACAGCTATTCAGCCTAACCTTATCTAGGTCATAAAAATCAGGATTTAGGAGGGTTTATCCCAACCAATTTTACTTCAAAACCCCATGTTTAATTGATTTCTTCCACTGCTGTGAAGTGAAAGAGTTTCTTAGAATTGAAAAAGTTTCCAAACAAAAAAGCTTTAGGAGATGGGGTTAAAATCTAAAGCCGATATATGCATCGTGCTCCTCATTAACCCTCCCTAGACTTCTGCACTCCACAATCCTTCACATTTTTAAAAAACAGTTTTGCTTATAGAGTAAGCATCCACACTTCAAATGCCTTTGAGGTAATCTTCTTGGGAGTATGGCTAACACTTCAAGTCCCTGCACAATTCATTTGTGTGGTTAAGCTCAGGACAAGCAGGCAGATTCAGTCATGCTTTACTGCTCTCCACAGTGCTGTTTTTGTGTGCACTCTCTATGTGGCATGGTTACTTTAACCAGTTCGCGCCGGGATTTTTTTGACATTGACCGGACCCAGGCACTGGACTGTTTCCACGAACCTCGATGCCAGACGGGTTCAGGCCGTCATCTGCGGGTAGCACACCCTGATATTTTCAGCCTCGCTTGCTGCGAGTGGGTGGCAGACAGATATTTCCGGACTTGCTTGTTGCGTGTTTATCAGTCATCCGTTCCGATTTCCGCAGAACCTTTGCGTGTATGCACGACATCCAATGTGAACTGCTTAAAGGATTTTACATATTGCTCCGAATATTGACTTCCCACGAGGAGAGTTAAGGGGCACAGTAACATGGTGCAACGGGCAAGTACAACGACTCGCCAACTCCTTACCTGGTGTGAGTCCTTTCCAGTGGAGCTCTTGATTGAGATGTTGCTGAGTTTAGGGCAGTTAGTGGCAAGGTCAAACAGTAACGCATCATCGACACACTTCAAGCCAGCAAGGTAGACGGTCTCCAAGTTTGGGCACGACGTGGCTATTCCAATCAGGATTGAATGGGAAATCTGGTACAATGGGAAACGGAAAAAATATCACAAAATCCGTTGATTGACTGAAATACAAGTAATTTAGTACTTTAATCTTTTCTTGTATAAAATTGTAATTTAAATATAACCTCTTTCACGCCATTGAGTTTTAGACTGGTCAGATTCTTGGCCCTTCGTGGATCCCGTATCAAATTGATGAAGGCTTCCCCCGTGAGACGTGCGCAGCCTGAGATAGACAAGTCCTCCAGCTCCGTGCAGTATTTCAGGACGGACCGCAGGGCGTGGTCAGTCAGAGATTGGTGACACCTGGTCAAGTCTAGGAGTGTGAGCTCACTTCCGATGCCACTGAAGATCTTGAACAAATTTACAAGAAAAAAATGAGTTCATGTCCCCATTCTGCCTGACCCCTCCCCACTAACTTTGTCCCCTACCCCCAGCCCCAACCCCAACAAGCAACTTCTGCCTTTATGCTTTCACAGGGATGCCTCAACTAAATTATTTAATACATCAGTTACTAAAGCATCACTCCAAAATATGAAAATGTTTTTTGAAACGGCTTTTGAAGATGTGTCGCTTAGGTCCCGAATTTTGAAATTTTCATCTTGAAACTAAAAAGCAATGCTGGTTCAGCATGATTGTCCTTATTATTAATTTTTATGGAGAAACAATATTTAACTTGTGTTCTTACAAAAATTACTGCCAACTTATTTTCAGGCCAAACCTGGGAAATTACAGTTGGGATCACTCGGAGAGGTCAGCAAATATTTTTATAAATTAAAAAAAGTGCAAATGTCATATCACAGAGTTCATGATAACCTCTTCAATGTCCTCTTCCGTGATGTTGTTGATCCCACATAACCTGAGCTCGCTGAGCTTCGTGAGGCGCACCAGGGCCTTGTGGAGTGTGGCGCCGTCTACTGGCAGCCCACTGAGAGACAGCGACGTGATGCTGGTCGGTAGGTGTTCCAGAACATTGGAGCTGGAGGGTTCCAGAGCTTTGTAGCAGAAGGACAGGTCGAGTTCTTGAAGCTTGGAGCAGCCAGAAAGCAGCTGTGATAAAAGCAAGGATTTTTAGAGCGTTTGACTTTCAGGGTGTTTAAGAACAATAGACAAAGTGTGAAGTTAGACTGGTATTGTTGCAAGTAAAGGGGCATGAACAATAAAAATGAAATCCTATGTCACAGTTGATGTGGATAGTTTGCGAGTTGACTAGGGAATATGACTTGTGAAGACTTATTATCATTTATTTCTGGTACATGTACTAAATGAAACCAAGGATTCCTCAAAAGCACCCTAGGCACTGTAGCTCGCAAGCCTAAAGAAACCTGCAAGAAGAAATGATAAGAAGACACTAGTTTTAGAGGTGGGAGGAAAACCCCAGAAGAATATTCTGGGGAAAACCCATGGAATCAGGCAGGGACTAAAAACCCAATCTACATGTTGGCCCAGGCGGGATGCAAACCCAGGTTACAGCGGTGGAAGGCGAGGAAAGTACCGCTATATATGCCAACCTTTGAGGTGTTATGATTGACTGCACTGCAATACTGTATGAGACACACAAACTAATCATACAAAATGAATAGGCACAATCAATATTCAGCTGTCACTTGCAAAAACAATTGATCACATCACAACAAATAATTGTTTAATCAGGCATGCATCACAAAAAGGAGAGGAAATCAGCCGATCCGGGGAAAAGTTGCATGCCTGTATAATGTAGGCAAATGACTTACCGGCATTAAACCTTCGCTCGTGAACTTGTTGCATCCCATTAGGCAAATACTGCAAGACAACGCAAAAAAGCAAAAATTAAAAACAAAAAGTACATGTTAACAACTGAACAATTGGTGATGTTTTGACGGTATCATGAGAACCATCTACACCCTGGTACTTCCCCCCCCCCCCAAAAAAAAGTGGCGAATAGTGTTGATAAACATATAAAAACATTTTCATACAACCAAACACAAAGAATTGTACCTACACCTACAGGGTGTATCAAACAGAAGCACACACTCTTTAAAATGTCCCAGAATGAAAATTTTAATATTTTTGGAATATCGCTTCATACATGTACATATAGGTAGATAAACCTGTAAGGCTTCAAATGCCAGCATGATCGTTTTGGCGCATTTCATGCATGACTGCTCAGGGGTCAAGTTACATTTGCAAACTTTGCGCTAAACGGCTGACGCAAACAAATGTGGTGTTTTTAACTGGATCAAATGCAATAAGAGATAATGCAACATGTGCATTTTTTTAATCACAAAGACCTGTAAAATAAAATTGTAGATGTTAACCCTCCACAGTCCTTTTCCATTTTTGCCCTACTCAACGGTCTAAAATTTACTGAATGTTGTTACATAAGGCATTGTCTGCATTTGGATAAATTGATTAAATCTGTGGGTTTTCTGTGCACTTCCGAGCATTGTTGCAGTTGAACTGACTGTGTCAAACAAGACGGTTAGAGGAGAGTGGGAGTGGCAAAGGCCCCTGCCTCCCCCCCCCCCAAAAAAAAATCAGCCCTCTATATGCACCCCTTCTCCACCCCTCTCGTGAAAATATTATTGCAAAATGCCTGCATAATGTCTATAGAACTTACCGGATTAAATTGGGGCAGTTTTCTCCGATTGAGACAAGGCTCTTATCGCTTAAAGTATTCAGGTCAGAAATCACAAGCTCAATCTGTCAATGAAACAATGCATTCACATAATTACGTCTAATCTGTTTCCAATGTAAAAACAGTTCAATATTTTTTATTCACCACATTTGCCAATTAGCCTTAAGGAAATATGGCAGACACAATAGGAATGCGTTATTTGGAGCAGGTAAATAGGCCTATATGTGGGGTGAACTGTTCATGTACAATGTAAATAATTAATAATTAATTAATTATCATTATTAAATGCTATTCTGTTGCATCGCTCACCAAGTTGCTCCCAAGCGCTGAAGCACAGACAGGCACCACATCGTCAGAGGCCTTGGACGTGGGAGTCCCAAACGAAAGCTTGCATATCTTTGGGTTCTTGGTCACCAGGCTTTGGATACCTGCACGCAAATGACAAATGCAAAATCCTGACCGGTCGTATCCAAATAACTTGGCTACGGCTAGGAAGAACACGCGTACCTATGGAAGCCATTGGCTAACGGATGCAGCCACTTTCCATAGACTCGTGTGTTATGTCCGGCTGTAGCACAGTGATTCGGACCCGTCCTTAGTGACTAGCTATGTTAGTATGATAGCTTGTAATCTAATGGATCTACGCATCTTGAAAATATACTCTGTCATGTTCGGTGGTTGAGTGGGTAGGGTATCTTCACTTGTAAGCAGGAGGTTTTGGGTTCGAATCCCACCCGAAGATCTTGTACTTTTTTCTCACAACCTCCCATATGGCACTGAGAATACATTGCTTTTAAGGTTACTTTAGTGAAAGGCAAGCCCCACTATTATAAACTTTAATTTAATAATTTGAGGTCAATGATAAGAAATCACTAAACTGGACTGACAGAGCTAAAACCACCTCCTTACCTTTGTTGCTGATGTTACTGCAGAGAATTTTGACATCTACCAGTGTATCTGGACAACAGACAGCCTCCAGTGCTTTGCAGGTTATCTGAGGCAGGTTCTTCAGTGTTAGTTTCTTCAGAGATGTTTGCTTGCTGAGGAGGGCTTGAAGACCAACATCTGGAAAATTTTAACCAAACAACAGAAATGTGCAACTTGATCATTACAGTTAACAATTGTTGACTGATCTGATGTGAGATATGACGTTTTTAACACCAGATGGCATTTCCCACATCACAGTAGTCAACAATTGTTTTGTTATCTTGTACCAAAACGATACATGCTTGTAACTTACTATGCAAGAAATAAATTAAATCATTGCAGTATAACCCTTGATAACTGCAGGCCTTCCTGCCGGACATGAAACTGAGCGGTTGTGTCACGCCCCAACTATCGCATCGGTCCCAACTATAGTTGGGACTGTCCCAACTATAGTGCGGCAGTTGGGTCGGCCCAACTATAGTTAGGACTGGAGTTGCGCCGGATGCTTCATGCTTGATAGATCTTGTTGCGCGGCGCTGGCACCGACGGTGTATTCGTCGTGCATGCATGCCGCAAGGCTGGCCGGTCACGTGGTACTGCCTAGTTGGATGAGTTGTCCAGCTGCTGGGTTTTATTATCCAGCAACATTTTGCAAAATTCAAAGATTGCCATGGCCGGCCAACTATAGATGGGCCCCTACCATAGCTAATGTCAAAGGTCTCAAGTCGGACATGTAATAAGCAGAGCTGTAGAGAATGTTTTATAGTCGTACATCAATGTAAACTATAGTTGGGACCGCCAAATAAAAATATTGCGGTGGCCCAACTACAGATGGTCCCCACCCATAGATCATTTCATTGGTCCCCAGTAAAGTCAGATGTATTAGAGTTGTAGGAAATGTTTTATAATCGTAAAACAATGTACACTATAGTTGGGACCGCAAAATAAAAAGATTATTGGGGTGGCCCAACTATAGATTCGCCCCATCAATAGCTAATTTCAGTGGTCCCCAGTAAAGTCAGACGTGTATCAGAGCTGTAGGGAACGTTTTATGGTTGTACATCAATGTCAGGTTGGCGTAGCGGTACTTTCCTCGCCTTCCACCGCTGTGACCCGGGTTCGAATCCTGCCTGGGCCAATATGTGGATTGGGTTTTCAGTCCCTGCCTGATTCCGTGGGTTTTCCCCAGAATATTCTTCTGGGCTTTTCCTCCCACCTCTAAAACTGTAACTTCTTCTCATTGTCTTCTCTCCACAGGTTTCTTCAGGCTTGCGAGCTACAGTGCCTATGGCGCTTTTGAGGAATCCTTGGTTTCATTACCAGAAATGATTAATAATAATGATAATAATAATAAACTATAGTTGGGACACCGCAAAGTAAAAAGATCGGAGTGGCCCAACTATAGATGGGCCAGCCCAACAATGGAACTTACAGTTGGGACTGTCCCAACTATAGTTGGGACAGGCCCAACTATAGTTGGGCCAGCCCAACTGTGGAACTACAGTTGGGACAGGCCCAACTATAGTTGGGACAGGCCCAACTATAGTTGGGACCGATGCGATAGTTGGGGCGTGACAGTTGCGCATATGCATTCATGCAGCTCAGTCAAGCGAGTGTGTCCATCAATATACTGAATTCAGACAAAGTAGAAGTCGAGTCGTCACACCTACCCGTGACCATTTTGCAGCGACCGATATACAGTGACTCCAGTTGGCACTTGCAGTCATTCAACTTCATCAACACAGCGTCAGTAACCTGCTCGCAACCCTTGAACTTGACCGAATGCAGCGCCGGCGAGAACAGATGATAAGTCACGTGAGGCAGGTAGTCTGGGGTCAGCATGTCATGGTCGGCCAGCCTCTGCAGGAGAATCTCCTTGTGTTTGGTCGGCAGCAAGCGGCCGACCTGGCTGATGCTGTTCAGGTTCTGGCCGATGCACTGCAGGCACATGTCCTCCAGCTTTTTCACCATGATGTCGTTTCAGTTGTGGTGAATTTTCTTGGTGCAAACAGAATTTTTTGGGTGAATTGGTGGTAGCAAACAATTTCTTGTGTTTGGATCTGAAAGACAAATAACAAAAACTGTTCAAGTTCAACTGTTCACATCTGAAAATATACAAATTATAGGCCTAACATTACACTTCAACATGTTCAATAATGAAAAAAAAATCAGGTACATTATGAACATGTACCTTCACGTGGAACATACTAAATAATGACGTTTTGATTTTGTCTGGTCGATCGTGCTGCGCTATCGGTCGATCGTGCCACCATCATCAGTCACTCACCTTTTCATTCTAAATCTAATTCTGATTTGGGGGATTGTTCTAAAAAAGGGAAGTTAAGTCTGAGATTTCCTACACTACAGGATTGACGCAATCGAGTGATAGCACATTTCCATTACCCCCCCCCCCCATCCAGTTCCCCCCCCCCCATCCCACCCCACCCCAGCCCAGCCCCCCCCCCCCATCCCACCCCACCCCAACCTCCACCCTCATGCCCACCCAGTAGGCCTACACCTACCAAACACATGTCTGATTTAGTAATTTAAAGTCCAAACAACACATAAATAAAAATATTGTTAAACATGACTTACATATAAAGACCATAGAGCAAGGAACAGAGACCTATATAATCTCACACAGGCTTTGCTTTACACGTCTGCGGAAGCAGCGACGTGACAATCCACCATCATCATAGGAAATGAATGTGTTGATTATTTGCTTGCGCTTTGGCAATGTGTTTTGTGTATTAAGTATCCGTCTAAAAATAGAATTTCTTGACTCTTGAATTCGTTGGGGTATAAGCATGGTAAGGCTATATTTTAACAGGTAAAAACTGAGTAAGTATTCCATAAACACAAGAAAATATTATATGTTGAAGTTCAAACGTCTTTAATACTAAATTGAAATAGATAAATGGTTTTGTTTATTGAAATATTACAACGTTAATATAATAATTAGTTGAACCCTAATCATGAACCTACCTTTGGTGAATAATGAAATAGTCCGAAGTCCGTCTTAGTAGGGCACCCAAAACAATAATTGTTAACGTCATTCTAAAATCACATAGTAACTGTGGGTACCAGTTCAATGGTGCCGGTTTTGTCTGGTAGCCTGAACACTATTAACGTTTTCGAATATGGCTCATACTTGTTACCTGACTAAATTTAACACCACTGCAGTGCTGGTACGGAAAACGTGCGTTGTAAGTTTTTTAGTAGCATTTTTATGACTTTAATTTCAGTTTTATTTTCAAGTGATATTAATGAGCATAATGACAATCCTTGAAACTACCCTTTTGCTTCATAAGGATCCTCAATAAATGTCATTACTTGGTTTAATCACGCTCGCCAATCGCTTGCTATCGTCTATTGGAGTCAGAGAGGGCGCTTCAGAAATTCAGAGAGGGAGGTCATGCACTTAACATCGGCGGCAAACTTGAGGGATAATCACTGCTTTTTACCCGAGATAGACACAAAAACGAACTTAAATATCAACATCCATCACAGGGAATGCTTACACCATCCTTTTATCTTCAAAATGCTGAAGTCTGCTTAATCAGTGGCTGGTTTTCCAGCACCAAAATACCACCCTGACGGTCGGCCTGTGACTGCCATATTGGTCAGCCATCTTGGATGATTGGTTTATGCGCATATGCATGGAGCTGATGCATGTATGTCATGCACAAACACATGATGGCCCTGCATCTGTTTTTATCAGTTGTCTCCTTGCTACTTCTATATCAACAAGTCATCCCAGAGCACAATCCAGCTATCTCCAACCCTGCAAGCAACATGACATTATTGATGGCAGGTGACATCCATCCAAACCCGGGACCTCGTGTAAAATGTTCCGGGAAAAGTTCCATACTCGGATGCCAATTTATCTGCTGCCAAACATATTAATTGTCACCTTACCTTGTCATTTGAACCAAGAGAAATCAAGGAAGCTGTGTTAAGGTGAAAAAAAATTACTCAAAATGTGTTTTTAGAGCACATTTTGGATGCATACGTCGTGCAGAACTAACTTGAAGCAGCCGGTCAAAACTGATTGTAGTGGCTGAAAGACAGCGGTACGTTATACACGTGACATCAACAACCATGACGTCGCATGAGCCTGCCAATGATAGTGCAATACGTCATTATGAATATTTATTTTCTCATGAATATTTAGTTTATTTCAATGGATACTTCAAATATGTCCAAAGATTGATTATTGCAACAGCGATCGTGCGCGGCCTAGCGGTTAAGAGTCTCGTGTGTCAAGCAAGCGTCAGAGGTTCGAATCCCGATGAAGTAACTGACTGATTAATAAATAGAAATTAAGGAAAGGAGAGGGTGAGAGTAGAGGAGGGAAAGTGGAGGAATAACCATAAAAGATGTAACTTTTGGCGCTAGAAAATTAATTGAAAAAAGTGACGTCCGAGTATGGAATTTTTTCCTATTCCAGCATATACCCTTGTGGATTATGTGAGTACCCTGTCACATGGAACTGCAAAGGTGTTGCCTGTGACGACTGTAGTATCTGGTATCACCAGTCCTGCATTGATTTGTGCTCAGCTGACTTTGAATTATTAAATCATTCCAACATTCAATGGAAATGCCACAAATGTAATAGCACAAACTGTGATAGCTTTACATACCATAGTTATGAACTACACTACCCCAGCGATGACTTGAACATCGACTCGAACATCGAACTTGGCAATATACCATCATCAGAAAATTCCTTTAAACCACTGCAGACAAGTAGTCCAATAGCAAGTACCCAGACTGATGATGAAAGAACTAAGGAAAGTTACACATTGTCACAAGTATGTAGCCCAACCATGGCAACACAAATGCCCAGGGCCCACAGCTCAGTCTCATATCGGCCAGGCACACAAAATCTAAGAATAATGACAGTAAACTGCCGGAGTGTGCTGGCCAAAAGGTCAGAACTTGCCATCGCCATTGAATATATCAAACCGGACATTGTATGTGGAACCGAATCTTGGCTGACAGGAATAAAACCAGGCCGAAACCCTTCTGAGGGTTATGTGAAATCAAGTGAAATCTTCCCAGAAAATTACATTGCCTACAGGAACGATCGCTGTAGCCTAGGTGGAGGAGTCTTCGTACTTGCTCATCGAAACTTGGTCACAGTTGAGCTCCCGCAACTTGTGACAAATTGTGAACTCGAATGGGTCAAAGTAAAACTGGAAAATAATAAAGAACTGATCATTGGATCCTTTTACATGCCCCACCGAAATACTACCACATTGAATGAACTGGATAAGTCATTCAAACTTTTGACAAGCTGTGGTTTCCAAGATAAGCAAATTATCCTTGCAGGTGACTTCAATTGCCCCGACATAGATTGGGAGCACTGTATTGTTGACTCAAGGAGCAAAGACAATACAACACAACAAATGCTGCTTGACATAACTTCTCACCTCACTCAAGTCCACATGTCACCCACGCGTGAGGACAACTTACTGGACCTGGTACTTACATCAAACCCAAGCCTTGTAAAGTCCTCGGTTTCTGCACCAGGGATATCCGACCACGACATTGTGATCACCGACATAGCAACTAAACCGACTATTACTAAACAAGCACCAAAGAAATATTACCAATTCTCACAAGCCAATTGGGAGAGCTTAGCTGGAAACTTGGATGCACTCTCACAGGACATCATAAGTATGCGACAAAGCGGCTCCAACGTACACCAGATGTGGGAAAAATTCAGTTCAACGGTACTAAGCGAAATTGACAAACACATCCCCCACAAGATCAGGAAAGGTAACAACTGGTTACCCTGGCTAGACAAATCCATCGTGAAAATGATCAAAAGGAAAAGAAGACTGTACAAGCGTGCAAAGAAAAACAACAAATGGGAAGCATACCGTAGCCTCCAAAAACAATGTAGGAGGAAAATCCGAAGAGCCCACTGGAACTACATCAATAAAGTCATTCAGGAAAGCCTCGCAAACAACAACAGTAAGCCATTCTGGAGATACATCAAAAACAGACGCCAAGATAATGTCGGTGTTGCCCCACTAAAGCACAAGGGGACCTTGTACAGTAATAGCTCATCTAAGGCAAAAATACTCATCGAACAGTTCAAGTCAGTGTTTACACAGGACAAAAATCGTGATCTCCCAGAAGTAAACACAAAAGTAGATCAACCAATTCCACGTATCGTCGTCCACTCAGTCGGTGTAGCCAAACTGCTGAAGAAGATTAACATTGCAAAAGCACCTGGACCAGACAACCTACCAAACGCTGTGCTGAAAAATTGTGCTGACAACATCGCACCTGGTCTTGCAGCAATATACCAAACTTCTCTTGACTCCGGCATCCTACCTGGAGATTGGCTTAAGGCCAATGTATCCTGTGTTTTCAAGAAAGGAGACAAACACCTAGCCGAGAACTACCGTCCAATCTCCCTAACCTCAGTACTCTGTAAGCAACTGGAACATATCATTTACAAACACATCATTTCACACCTTGAATATCACCAAATCCTCACACAGTTAAACCATGGTTTCCGTCGTGGCTATTCCTGTGAAACACAACTTACAGTTACACTACATGACCTACAAAAATCTTTTGACGAGAAAAAGCAAGTTGATATTGCCATACTCGACTTCAGTAAAGCATTTGACACCATCCCACACAACAAACTCCTCCACAAGCTCCACAACTACGGCATCAGGGGCCCTCTACATCAGTGGTTAACCTGCTTTCTCACCCAACGCACAATGAGAGTGGTATTGGAAGGAGTAGCTTCTCGGGAAGTGCCGGTCGACTCTGGGGTCCCCCAAGGGACAGTGTTGGGTCCCTTGCTGTTCCTTTGCCACATCAATGACCTTCCAGCCTGTGTGACATCCAAAGTCCGTCTCTTCGCAGATGACTGCCTGCTGTACCGACAAATAGATGACCCCAGTGATCATGTCATCCTCCAACAAGACATCGAAAACCTGGAAACTTGGGCGGGAAAATGGGGAATGCGCTTCAATGCCAAAAAATGTAACATTCTCAGCATTAGGAATAAATCAACACGTTTCTACACATTAGACAACACTGTTCTTCATCAAGTACCTAGCAACCGGTATCTTGGTATACACATCTCTGAGGACCTCAAATGGAATACACACATATCCAGTATATCCAAGAAGGCTGGCTCCACTTTAGGTTTTCTTCGCAGAAACCTTAGGGGTTGCCCAGTCAACTGCAGAAGAACTGCCTACCTAGCTCTGGTACGACCAATCTTGGAATACGGAGCTACAGTGTGGGACCCTTACATAAAAGCCAATATTGACCGACTGGAACGCATCCAACATCGAGCTGTACGCTTCATCACCGGAGACTACAGATCACAGAAGCCCGGTTGCCTCACAAAAATGCTACAAAATCAACAACTACCATCTCTGCAAGACAGAAGGAAACAATTACGACTCACATTCATGTACAAAGTGGTTAAGGGGCTAGTGCCAGCCATACCATCTCAGCTCTACCTAACATCTAAAAAACCTGGGAGACAAATTCGACCAAGAACACTTTTCAACTCTGCAACAACACACTCCATTGAAAGCTCCATAGCTGTCAACTCAAGGTGCTACAGAGTTCCTCGGAGCAACACAGATCAATTCAGGTACTCCTTCTTCAACAGAACTATAATTGACTGGAACCATCTAGAGGAATGCGTAGTCCAAGCCGACTCTGTTGACACCTTCAAATCCCTCATCAGCCGCGGACCTCTCTCTCAATAAGTTACTGTACAGTGAACACCCTCTCTCTCTCCCGTTGCTCTTATGCCAGAATTGGTTTCTTGCAACGTACACCTACAGATACAGATGCAGATTGTCGATTTCGCGTTCTGGACCAACACCTCATTGAGGGCGCTGTTTCTAAAAGGGCTACGAACGATATGGGTTTATTTTGACACTGTGTTTTGTAAGGGTTCTTTGAATGGTTTTACAGGTATGAGACGCCTTTTTGAAAGAGCGTTGTAAGTGCCCATTTTCCATATTTAAAGGTTCCTTATATCTCTGGCTCACAAGAGGGCGCTGTGACCGCGCCCCAGAGGACCCCAACTTGACTACGGAGGCGCTGTTGATATTATGCTAATTTAGGCCCTTGGCCTTAGTGTTTAGTTATAAAAACTGTGAACTAATGTAAAATACAAACATGACAAACCTTAAGTTTGCTCATGATTTAGCACTTACTTAAGTTTTCTCAATTGAAGCTTATCAGTACCAGAATGTTATTGTTATGTGCATTAAGAACTAAGGAGTAAATTTGGGTTAAATTTATTCCTGCATGCATGTTTTTAAACAGATTTTCTTCATGGCAGGTTTAAAAAAAAAGTCATTTCAAAGAGGAGTGAAGTGGGGAATTGGTGACCTCTGAACTGTAACCTCTATCATCATCGTGGATGTTTATCTGTCAAGGTCACAAGTGATTGAATGATGATGAATGACTTCTTGCTTGGTTTGTTGCCCCTGCAGATCACCAGATCTCCAGAAGAGCTTAAGAAATACTGATCAGTGCGAAAGGACTGAGAGGCTAGTCTATTTGCGACAATGGGGCTTATGACTGATCCGTACACGCAGGCAGTGCTTGCCACCTTCATTGGCCGTTTCCACAAAGTCGGTAGCCTCCTGTGCTACGTGGCAGGAGTGGCTTACATGCTGGCCCTGGCTTACCCTACGCTGAATGCAGGCACCTACTTCTCCGAGAATGCCCTGCTGCCGGGATTGGTGGACCGTGAGTATGCCGACAGCAGCTACAATGTGGAGCAGCTGGCTGAGGAGTACAAGAAGGTCATTGACGGCGGGGAGGGCTTGCCCGTTGCGTATATGGAAACCAAATTCACCCAGCTTGGTCTCGACACCTACACCCAGAATTTCAGCGTCAAGCATCCCTTCTTGGAAACTGAAGTTATTGGGAAGCGTCGAGTGCCTAAAACCATCCAGGGAACAAACGTTTATGCCATTTTGAGAGCTCCGAGAATTGCGGGGACTGAAGCGATTGTCTTGATGGTGCCTTACCGCAGCGGCAAGAAGGCACAAGAACGTGGTGATACGCACTTTGGCATAGGGCTGATGCTGTCCCTGGCTAAGTTCTTTCAGACCAAGACCTACTGGTCCAAGGATCTGATCTTCTTAGTAGTTGATCAGGAGGACATGGGCATGCAGGCCTGGCTGGAGGCCTATCAGGGCATACCCTCAGACTACATCAGCTCATCGATCATGCAAGGGCGTAGCGGGGCCATTATGGGTGCGGTCAATCTCGAGGTGGGCGTTCCTCGCGTCAAACGCTTGGACTTAGTGACCGAGGGCATCAATGGCCACCTACCCAATCTGGATCTTTTCAACCTGGTTGTGCGGCTGTGCGGTAAGGAAGGAGTCCAGGCCTCCTTCCAGAATCAAGTAGACAGTAGCAACTACCACCGCCTCACCAGGCAAGGGTACGAGAAATCCGCCAAGACAATGCTGCTAAACATGGCACATCAGGCCACAGGACAACCCCGTGCCATACATGGACTGTTCCTCCACTACCACATAGAGGCCATAACCATAAGGGCAGCGGCAGGCCAAAAGTCCGGCAGCAAGAGTATGCAAGTGGTAGGTCGAGTTCTTGAAGGAGTCATCAGAAGTATCAACAACCTCCTAGAGCGGCTTCATCAGTCCTTCTTCTTCTATGTCCTCCCTAACTGTGACCGTTATGTCTCCATTGGGCTCTACATGCCACCCTTTGCATTACTCATGATGGTCCCCTTACTGAATGGTCTTGCTCTGTGGATCAAATCTGGTAGCATATCCAAATCTCTACCAACAAAGGACTCGGGAAAGGAAACGCCGAAGACTGATTCAGAGATCACGGACGATTTTGTTCCTCGACCATTGAGCACCATCATGCCACTTCTCATCGGAGCATCAGTGACCGGTGCCCTGCTTTACATCAGCCCTGAGTTCTTCATGAGTCGCTTGGGCAATGTCTTCAAGCTGACGCCAGAGGAGTTGGTCAGTCTGGGTGTGATGGCTCTCTTCGTGGGTGGGGCCATGTTTCCTCACATCATCCGTCGCAAGATGTCTTCCCCCTCCGATCCAGGTGAAGTCGCCGCCGAGTGGCAGCTCCTTAAGTCCTTCGCCCTCATCTGGCAGGCCGTTATCCTGTCCGCAATCTCCATGATGAATTTCTCCCTGGCGTTCTTCATCAGTGTTGCCATGGTACCCATCAGTGCCGTCGTCAAGCCGTCATCAAGGACCCCCCTCCGTCTCCTGAATGCTGTGCTCCTACTCCTAATCTCCCCACCAGTACTCCTCTTCTTGTTCCTTGCCATCTTTAACGCAGCCACCTCACCCATTTCAGATGGCGGAGAATTGCTCTCCACCACTCTACAGATGTCCAAGCATGCCTTATACCGAGCTGTTGTTGACGGCTACGTCTTTGGAAACTTGTCTTACGGCTTGGCTACGATGGTTGTGTTTCCAAACTGGCTCATGCTGTGGCTAGTCGTCTGGAAGAAAGTTTAAAACTGGACATGTTGGCTGTAGAAAGAAACATGTAAAATTAATATTTTGTGACTTTAAATGTGACAAACCATTTGTGGCAGAATCTTCAAACTGAAAAAAATGTTTGAGTATTCCCTCACCAGATTACAAAGCAAAAGTACCCCCAGTGACAAAAATGCTCCTCCAAAAATATTCCCTTCCGAAAAAGTTGTTCCAGGGTAGAGAGGCACTGTCCACTCATACTCAATTTTTGTGTGCGAATCTCACCACCCTTGTATGCAGTGATCCTTGAATAAATTCAAGATATCCTCACTACAGTACACGTACATGTACACTGTACATGTATCTAACGTTCACGCACTGATCCCCTTATACTTGATTACATGATGCACTTTTGATACTGCAAAGGGTCTTCTTTTACTAGGAGTAGCTTGATATTGATGTTTGGCTATTATTTACCCAAAACTATTTACTCTAGTCACAATTATTCATTTCTTTTAAGCATTAAATGTGAAATGAATTTCAGCATTAAATGTGAAATGAAATAATCAATTTGAAATGACATAAAATGTTTTATAGTCAGCTTTTTTGTGTTTGCGCAATTGTTTGCTATGAACAGATTGTTCTGTAACTGAAATTACATTATGTACATGGTGATGCTATCATGTAAAGATTATACATGTAAACTACAGATGTGACTTTTCACCACGACGAAATGAGCTTGAAGTCAGAAATTGCCATTTTGCAGTAGAGTAGGGCAAAGCCCAAATTTCAAGGGGTGGTCAAATTTTTTTTGTTTTTTGGTGAACCTTAATTTGTAACTCCTGTTTTCCTTTTCCCCCAATTTTTTTTTTTTTTGGGTCAAACATCTTTAAAACCTATTTCATCCTATCTTCTATAATTTGACTGTTGATAGCACAACTGCAGGATTTTTAAATGCCATTTTCTTAAGAATTGGATTTACAACTGTATTTTCATTACTGAACTCAGTACCCCTTAATGATGTATACAATTGGAGAGCTCTTGTTCTGTAGAATCCAGATATATAAATATCTCAATTCGTAATAAGTCTGACCTTGAGCTCATTTTGTGATGACGGGTCACGAATAATTACTAGTATGCCTTAAATATGCATTGATCTGAAAGTAGCTGAAACTTCAATATACATGTAGATACTTTGAAATGAAAAACGGTTATAATGTAATCTGAAAAAAAAAAACATTCGATCAAATCAATTGAAATTGCAACAATTTTAATTGTGGGTATTGGGCAAAAAGCCAATAAAAATTGCAAGAAGGCATAGATACGTATGTATAATATTAAACTAGTTTAGTTAGTTTTCTGCTCAAAATTTTGTATTAGGTTGTGCATGTGTTGGCATTAAAGTATTTGTATGCGTAGGATACAATGAAGTTGTAACTGTCATTTCTTGTACAAAATTTATATGACAAGTTTGTTTTACATTGTGTACACATTATTATGCTAAAGGACCCCGCAGTCCCACACTGAGTGTCTGGAAACATTTTCCTCAGATGGCAGAATTGATTTGTCAGGATTTTGGACTTGCCCACGTCCACACAGTGTTTCCCCCTCTCTGGAAAACAGGTTTAGAGGCATTTTGGGGTTAGGTTTATCCGTGGCAAATGAAGAGAAACACTAAAAGGAATCATAGAACAAAAATTGGGTTGAAAGAGTTTTCACAGTGCGAGTAAAATGAGTATTTTCTTAACTACACGAAAACAAAGGAATGTCCACACTAGGTATGTAACGTAAACATGGGTGCACCAAAGGGTGTTTGATGAATGATGCCTTCCCAAGAAGTACATTATCTCGTATCTCTTTTGGAGTGCTCCTTTTAATAGGGAAAAAGAGAGGAAGTTCCCTCAACAAATTTATACCATTCACAAAGTTTGTGTTTTAAAATTAAGGTGTTCGTGTGTGTCACCTCTCTGGAAATTGTTAAAAAAATATATAACAAAATAAAAATTCCAACTCGAAAATTTTGTGAAAAGAGGGAGGGGGTTTCTGATGTTCTGACCCTACTCCAAGAGCGATTTGGTGTTATAAAGTCCTTTCTTGTTTTGTGTCTCCCCCTTTGCAGAGTCAAAAATTTCATCAAGTCAAGCTTATGATTTGAGGGTCCTTGTTAGTTTGGAATACTGCCCTCCCTTGAACCGGTCAATGCTGGTTGCTAGGCTACAACAAGGCTTGCTCCGTCTCCGCACCGTCCTGCCGAAATTCAAAATGGCTGACGCCATTCCCAAGGAGGCCACAGCAGTTGCCAAGGTGACACAATCACCGGAGGACAGCCAGGCATCGAGCGGTAACAAACGTCCATTGGAATCCATGGAACAGATCGGTTCTGTTTCCTCTGTAGCCACAGCCACTTCTGCAGCCACCACGCAAGCCGATACCGCAGCCACAACATTAGCCACGACTGTAGCCGTTACAGAAACTACTCCCATAGCCACTGTTGCGGCTACTCCAGTAACCACTGTCACAGCCACTACCATAGTCTCTTCTGAAGCTACTGCAGTAGCTGTTGCTGCTTCTACTGAGGAGCCTGCACCCAAAAAGCTCAAAACCGAGGTTAGTTCGAACAACTTCGGACATGCACTGACAATATTTCCCTTAAAAACAATATTTTTTTTAAAACACTGACTTTTAAATAATTTTGTTGTCTTTTATTTACATGTTTTTCTTCCTTTTCTTCCAAATTCCTCCAATCCCATTCTAAATCCTTGTCTGTATCGGGGGATAAATGAAGTTGATCAATGGCATGCTTATTTTGGGCAAACGTGACCTCATTTTGGCCGTCACTGTCTGTATTTTATTCAATGTTATTCCAAATCCAATATGACGTGACAGATGTTTTATTGGACCAAACACACTTCTGTCTTAAAACAAGTTCTCTGTGTATTGAACAGGATGACAGCAGCAATGCAAGTCCCCTCAAAATCGTCAAGAGGAAGGTTGCCATGTTGCTTTCTTACTCGGGAGTTGGCTACAAGGGCATGCAGAAGTAAGTAGCTCATACTGCCCTCTAGAGGCTAAAATAAGAGAACACGTTTCCGTTCAACTTACAGTCTTCACAATTAGGAAAAAACGTCAACAGATATCTTCTGTCACTATGACTTTGTATTCATTCTTGACTAGTTTCTAGATTGTTGTCCACACCATGAGTGGCTATTTGCCTTCTGTTTGGGTAATGCCAATAATAAAACAAAAATTGGTTGGGATTCCTTTCCAATAAATCTTAACAGAAATCCTGGGGAGAAGACGATTGAGGAAGACTTAGCCCACGCTTTGCTGAAGTGCCAAGCCATCACTGAGGAGCAGGCCCAGAACTTTGGCAAGATGGCCTTCCAGCGCTGCGCCCGGACTGACAAAGGGGTCTCGGCAGCAGGGCAAGTTGTGTCTCTCAAGATGAAGATATTTGACAACGTGGTGGGAAGGATCAATGAGTATCTACCGCCGTGCATTAGGGTCATGGGTAAGGGATTGTTGAATTGGCCCCCCACCACCTACACCATTTCCCACTGACCCCGACCATCCCCCGACCCCCAACCACCACCCCAACCACCACCCCCAACCCCCACTCTCCATCCCCCACCATGCCTTACCACCCCCACCCCTTAAAGGGAATATACATCATTCGCTTTTGCTGTAATTTTCAGAAATGGATGGAATTGGGGGGTTGGAAATTTATAGCAAATACAGTTACACTGATTTTTTGAGGTTTTGGGTTCGAAAATGCCCAAAAGACCAAGAAAAACAATAATTTTCCTGTAGTCTGGTTCCTTGACTCCATTTAAGAAGAAACAGAGCAGTTAACATATATTGGGGAATTGTAAGGTCAGGGAATCAGTCTAGCTGGCTTGTACCCGTTCATAGGTGTGTAATCGATTGCAAACAAGTGCGATGGTCAACTGGGGCCAGTATTTGAAAAAAGCCAGTTTTTTCCAACGCTGATCGGCCGATCAGCGTTGGAAATTGATACAAAAATACCACTTTTCTTGAAAATGACAGTATACCAGGTGCTATGATTTTACAGGATGCTTTACACTGTCATTCACTAACAGTCCAGCAAGGTATTTCAAAATGATTTGGTAGTTTTATTTGTTGATGTTTGCAAATGTTGTATTTTCCCTTTAAAGGATACCGCCATAACCCAAGCAGTAGCTCAGTTCTTGTGGAGGTGAAGTAGCTATTTATCCTGTACGTCTGCTAGTCTCCTAGACATTTTAGGGTTTCAAGTCAGAATTTCATTTTGGGATACGGAAGGCACAATAGCAGGGTGCGAGTACAACAGAAGGTGCTACTTTTTTCCTCGATTTATTTTCTCCTTATTTGCTCTGCAGGAATCAAGCGAACCACTGGCAGTTTCAACTCTAAATACAACTGTGATTTCCGCACCTACATATACATGCTCCCCACCTTTGCTTTTGAGCCAATTGAGGAGATCACCACAGAGAGTTACAGAGTCACAGGTAAGGACTGAATGATACACGGCACTTCATGATGACTTTGAGAGTGACCCCTAGCAAATTGCAAGTACAGGTTTATGGACTCTGACTCGTTGCCCTTGAAAGAAAACAACAGAGTGGGAAACTACCAACATGGGGCTGGATAGCTCGGTTGGTAGAGTGCGGGTATGGATTTCTGCAGGTTGCATTTTCAAAAGCTTCTCCAGCCAATTTCTTCAACCAAAAATCATCAAGATAGTCATGATTTGATAACTGTTAACCGAATTATTTTGTTGTTCTAGAGGAGAAGTTGCAAGAGGTGAAGGAACTTTTGATGTTGTACATTGGGACTCACAACTTCCACAACTTCACATCTGGAAAGTAAGTCAAGTTCAAGTCTTCTCGCTATAAAAAGTAAGATTTTACAGGACGTACAAATGCTGTCTTCAAGACTTATATACCAGGATTGATCACAAGTATATTCACTACAGTCAGTCAATTTCTCTCGCTCTTTCCCATTTGCAGGCTCTTCAAGGACCCAAGCGCCTATCGCTACATCCGAGAGTTCACCTGTGACGAACCCTATATATACGAGGGCTTAGAATTTGTCATTCTCAGGGTGAGGGGTCAAAGTTTTGTGCTCCACCAGATCAGGAAGATGATTGGTAAGTGAAGGTGTTTTCTTTCATCTTGAACCTTTTATGAGCAGGTTCAAGCCAGTTAATCATAGTTGGACTAGCTGCTTTCGAACTAAGGATTGTCAGACTACTTTAGTCAACTACCTGAAACCGAAGCCTGGGGCTGGGTTCCATCACTGGTTACCAGTAGCTGCGTGTATCATAATGCACAGCAGGCAGCCAGGAACAACTTGAGAAGTTTCGTGATGACGTTCTGTCAAGCATTTGACAGGCGGCGTTAGCAATTGCAAAATTGGATGAGTTTGTGTCTGTTGGTGTCGGGGATGATCAAAATTATGACAAGCCTTAGGCAAAATTTACACAAATTTTATCAAATTGTGTCTCCCTTTTTGTATAGGACTAGTGATTGCCATTGCTAAGGGCTTCGCTCCTAAGGACACCCTGGAGAGGGCATTTGGAGAGGACAAGTTAGACATTCCAAGAGCCCCTGGCCTAGGCCTGGTCCTGGAATCGGTGAGTTTTGCTTCCAGGTTTTGCAGGATTTAAGAGGGTAGAACCATCCGCTGTAAGTTTACAAAAGTACTTGGGACTTGATGTTCCTTGCAAGATAAAAACCCAAAGAACACGCCGTCAGGTTCTTGCACTGCGATTCGTTTTGGAGGATACCTAAAGGTTCCCAACAAATTTCCATAGGTTCGCAACAAATTTCCATAGGTTCCCAACAAATTTCCATTGGTTCCCAACAAATTCCCATAGGTTCCCAACAAATTTCCATAGGTTCCCAACAAATTCCCATAGGTTCCCAATAAATTTTCATAGAGTAAAAGTTCACGATTTCTATATTCTTGCCTTCATTGACAAAGGTTCACTACGATGTTTACAACCGGAGGTGGGGTAGCGACGGAATGCACGAAGCGCTCACGTGGGACGATTGTAAGGTAATCAATTTTCAAAGTGTTATAAAACAAGAATATTATATTCAAATAAATTACAAAAGAAAACTGAGTCTAGGTACATGCATAATAATTATAAAGTCCAACAAAGAACTTGACTGGAGCGGGGCTTGAACCCATGTTTTTCACCCATTCCAATGGGATGGGATTTACACAGTTAAAGGGAAAATACAACATTTGCAAACATCAAAAAATAAAACTACCAAATCATTTTGAAATACCTTGCTGGACTGTTAGTGAATGACAGTGTAAAGCATCCTGTAAAATCATAGCACCTGGTATACTGTCATTTTCAAGAAAAGTACTATTTTTGTATCAATTTCCAACGCTGATCGGCCGATCAGCGTTGGAAACAACTGGCTTTTTTTTCAAATACTGGCCCCAATTGACCATCGCACTTGTTTGCAATCGATTACAAACCTATGAACGGGTACGAGCCACCTAGACTGGTTTCCTGACCTTACAATTCCCAATGTATGTAAATTGCTCTGTTTCTTCTTATATGGAGTCAGGGAACCAGACTACAGGAAAATGATCGTTTTTCTTGGTTTTTATAGCATTTTCGAACCCAAAACCTCAAAAAAGTCAGTGTAACTATATTTGCTATATATTTCCAACCCCCCAATTCCATCCATTTCTGAAAATTACAGCAAAAGCAAATGATGTATATTCCCTTTAACTTAATTTACATCAGAGTGAAAAGGCCCATGACAATCTGATGCACTGATATCACTAACTGTATTGAAATGGGTGAGAAACCCCCAGCCTTTTACAATCTGTTAGATCTCTGGTTTGCATGAACGGATTTCCGTGGCATTTTCACTGATTATACACAAGAGTATAATTAATATGCTCCATCAAGATGAAATACTCATGTTAAGTAGTTTTTGAAAAATTAAAGGATATTTTGGGGACAACATGTACTGTCCTCTTGCCAGTAATCAGCTTTATTCCTTTTTAGCATCCTTATGCTTTATAAAAAGCCTGAAATTACATCTTTCAACTTGATTGTCTGGAATTTTTAAGATGGTGATAAAACACAAACCTGTTCTTGATATTTTTTTTCCAGGATGACTTGGAGGCGTTCAAGAAGGAACATATATATCCAACCATTGTCAGCACAGAGAAGAAGCAGAGAGCGTATCCTTCCAGATTTGAGATTTTAGTTCCAATTAGCATATAGGTCATTCTATAAATTTGGAGTCCACTGTTTTTTTCCCTGTCCCTGTTACATTTGACATCTATGATTTTGTAATTCTGAATGTAAGTGTAATTTCTTAATTTTAGGTTATAGAATCTTTTATACATGTATGCTGATAGAGTGACGTCAATGTTAGACGGTTATCATTTTAATCTAAAAGAATCAGATTTTGTGAGCTTTATTTCCTTTAACCCTACCAACCCACTAGCATGATGCAATGGCTGAGCACTCTTCCACTACACACCTACGACGTCATCGAAACACCCAACCCCTACCGCGGATTAGCCTCGCACATAGAGAAAGACAGACGAGAGAAAAAGGTTGGAAAAGGCACTCCTATCCTGCTTTACAAACTCCCTCAGTGAAAATAAAAAACATGCCAAAAGTTTAACTCGTTCAAACCAACGTGTGTTATCTGTATGAGCTTCAAATAGCATCCAAAGTACATAAAGCATCCAAAACACGATCGACTTCATGTCAAATTTTGTTCATGTTATTGAACGCGATTTTAACATTCTTCTGTGACAGGAGAGACTAAACATGTCGAGTGCCAACTCCGGAAACAAGGAAGAGCGCCCTCTAGAGTCAGCCTCATCCAGCCACCGTGCACAGGGGGACGGTGGCCCAGAGGTGACATCCACCACCGGTCAAGAGCAGTCGCATCAGGTCGGTGGCCCAGACGGGACATCGGTGGAGGACAAGCATGAAGCTGAATGTAAAACCTCTTCATCAGAAGTGCAGCCTGCAGGTCATTCAGTCGAAACGCAAGATAGAGTGCCGATGGAAACAGGCAAAGCCAATGAGACTAGAGAAGAGATTTCAAGCACGTCAAAAGGTCCTGACCCTGGAATTGGCACAACTTAAGACCAATTTTGGACAAGGAATCCAAAATTTGTTTCTTTTTTTGTTTTTTATCATAAGATGCACAATTTCCCTTCTTGTATCAAAGAAAAAGCAAAGTGCGAAATTAAATGATAAAAGTTAAGCTGTTTAGGAGCATGCAGTATTGGCGTCATGCAGAAAACCTGTCTTTATTTGCATAAATATAGTTGGGACAAGAAAAGAAGATATTAAGATCCTCATTTGATTATCATGATAACTAAAGAAAAAATTGTAGAGTAACTGTTTCCAGACCCAATGCAAACTAAAAACCATGGCATTTTTTATGGAAGCGCTGCAGCTGATTTCATGAAACAGTGTGCAACTCACTGTAGCGCCCTCTGCTTGTATTGAGTTTTTAGTGAATATATACGATGTAATACAATGAAGTTCAGCTTTTATGACGTCTGTCTGTGTATGATTTCTATTTGATCACAAAGCAGTCGTTGGATCACCTCCGCCTACCACTTTGGAAATACATTTGTCGGACTTTTCTTCCGAATCATGCAGAAACTCTGAAAATTCTTTCATGGGTAAAATAGTAATACATGTACACTTACTGCAAACACAAATCTGTGACTCTCTTGTATCAACCTAGTTAAATTTAGCCAGTAACAGTTCATTTTCAGTCCCTGTACCATAACTTACACCACCTACGAAATGATTGCGTAAGTTACCCCTTAATTCTGTACATAAGTTGCGCAAGTCACAACTTGCACACTGAAACTTTCTTGAAATGCATCATTAAAAAATGTTGAGCAAAAGGAAATGTGCAAGTTACCCCTTAAGTTTATGCGTAAGTCGCAGTCTTACTCTGAAACTTTTCTGAAACACGTCATCAAAAAAATTTGCAACGTGAAATGTGCAACATAGGCAATAAATAATGGCACAAGTTTACGCGATCGCATAAAGTTTGTGAAATCGGCTACCGCTGGTAACCCACCACTAAGACACATTCGATAACAAACAATCTTTGAGGCAGAACAAATGGTATTATATTTGACCTGGTTTTAATAACAGTTTCAGAAGCACATTTGAACAATAATTATTGGCCTTATAATTTCATATTTTGGTTTTTTTTTCTCTGAAAAACACTGACACAGGATGCTGTAAATATTTAAAAGCCTTTTTTTGTTTTCTTTTTGTAAACAAACAATAAAAAAAGTAAACACATTTCAACAATTGAAGACATGATCAATTTTGTACAAGTGAGTATATTTGTGATTCTTAAATTGACTTCTCGTATAATTCACATATTTCATTGTAATTTTTTTTTAAACAAAGCATTTTTGTTCACTTTTCCCCTTCATAGAAAAAAAGTTGAAATCTTCTCCTCTTAATTTACAGACAATACAGACAATGATATACATGTATAACATGTCACCTGTGCAACAGCATTGACTCAGATATGGAGTGCAAAAATTGCAAAATGGTATTCACTGATACCGCCAGTGATTTTACTAGTTGCCAATGCAAAAGGAAAGGAACAAATATGTGAAATTATTAAAAGACGTAGACCACACATAAAACTAATATGAATCTTGCTGTTCACAGACTGCTCTACTAACTTTCCAGCAAAGTGGCTCAACAAGTGCAACATTGAAATTCGGTGTTACAATTGGCCAATTTCAGAAATACATCGGACAAGCGATAACTCATGCATGTTCAGAAAAGGGGGTTGATATTCGTAGAATTTTGAAATCCAAAGTCTGACGTGGTTTATGAACGGTGTACATTTGCCCTATCATATACAAAAATCGTCTTTCTTTTCTCATTCAACAACACATCAGCAGCAAAGCTATCATCAGAAGGATAGTACCTGCTAAGTTGCTAATAAATATTGGTTAGCAGAATTCTGAGGGATTTTCAGTCACTGGCTGGAAAGAGTCTACTTTTTTTGGGGGGGGCGAGGTTTTTAGTTCTGCATCAATGACATTCTTTGAATATGATGTACATGTAAATTCACTTATATTCTCGGCTGAGAAATATGACAGATGAAGACTAACAAAACAGGGTTCGAACCAACCACCTCCAAACTGAAAGCCACATGTCTCGTTCTCGGCCAAGATTCAACAGAGTTGTCATTAAGAGTTGAATAAGGCTCAAAATTAAAAAAAAAAACATGTTATCGATAACACATTTTCCTGCAGTGTCTGTTCATGATTTTTTTTTTTTCAACAGTAGATTTGTATGTCTTTCCACTTTCATTATCTTGCAAATTATTTTACACTTTCCTTGAGTTTTCCAAGTAAGTACAACCGACAAAACTGGCGAGAACTCTACAATTAATTTACATGTGTATCTACATGAGCATCTACATGTACAAGAGCTTGTATGTTTTTGTTTCTAAAATGCAGTAAATTTATGAAAAAGCAAGTTGTGGCTGTTTCTTGGTCAAGTTCTGCAGAAGTTGTTCTCTACTGGCTTGTGTGGTCGCATGATACTGACAGACCAATTGCTTGTCTCTTCCCTGCAAAATCCAAAGCATCTGTTTTGACTTTTAATAGGAAGTCACATGTTGTAGAAGCTACTGAAAGACCAGAAAGCCGGGTGCATTTCCTACAGTCCAGAGTCGGTTTGGAATAGAGTTGCTGATATATCTGCCACAAAGCTTGCTTTCACGAACAGCGAAGCTGCCTCCCAGGTATAGTAGGCAAGGCCTCGTATATTATAAACACCTTGTGTAGTGACATAGATATGCAAAGTAAGTTAAACCTTCTTCTGATGATGTGAATTCAGCAACAGAAAACACAAAGCACAGAGGCGTAATTTGACTGTGCAGTGTTTGCTTCATGCACAAACTTGCAAAACTGGAATGCAACGTCTTTTTCGAGAAATGATATATGTGTAGCATGCTACTTTCAAACCAAAGTTTCTACAATGCTCAGCAGAGAAAATTGCGAAACCAGGTTAAAGGCCTTGGCACGTAGGCCAAGCAGATGGCCGACTACACAATCCAAAATCTAGGCATATGTGACTGAAAAAAAGTATGCTCATATGATGATCATCTACAACAGAGAATGCCATCAGATTCTTAGTACAGTGAAGCATTTATAGTAGAGAACAATGTTCTCAGATGTTCAGTGCAGTAAACCGCCTGCAACTTTAAGCAACGTCCTCAGTTGTTCAATGCATGTTCAGCATCTGCGACAAAACGTCCTCGGATGTTAAATCCAGTGAGGCAAGTTGGAACAATGTTGCCAAAGGCTCCGTGCAGTTTGCAGTGCTGTAGAGTGCTTGATAATTAGTGCAGTTGACTTATCCAATGCAGTTGAAAATGACGTCCTCGGTTGTTCAACGTATTGAAGCACCTTTGAAAAACGTCCTCAGATGCCTTGGCAAACTGAAAATGTCCTCAGATGAATTCAGTTAAACATCTGTAGCTGAAAACTATGTCAAATGTTTGGTACAGTGAACGAGTATTGCGCCCCTGTTTTAACAGCGCACACACACGCACACATGAACACACGGTCCTTCAATGTTGCAATAACTGAAACAAATTAAGTTTTTTTCTTCTTCTTCTTATAAAACTACAATTTACAGCATGCAATACTTTTGATACTGCTTTGCGGTTTCGTGTAAATTTAAAAATACAAAAAGTGATATGCAAAACAAACAAAAATCCAGCAGCTAAGTAGTTGTCATCCAACTGTTCAACTCTTCGCGTTGAGAGGGCCTCCTCTTCTTTTGGTACAAACACATCACCAAGAAAACAAGAAAACGTAACACTACAAGAAAAACGGTGCAAAATTCTCACTGAGGTATGGCTTGGTCCAGCGAAACAAACGCTCAACATTTTCAACATTCCGATCACCTGACATCACGACATTTAATTTGACAGTGGGTGCGAACCAGTTTATGCACACGACAAACATCATCAGTGTTTTTACGTACACGATTACATTCAAGAACTTTTCTTGCCACAGAATTTTTTTTTTTATCATTTTGAAAGTTGGTAACAAAAACATCACATGCACAACCTTTTTTTTTTTAATCTTCCATAAAAAAACTGACAATTCAGTGGATGGATGAATACAAAGAGGATGCAGTACAAGTTGGTGGGTACATTGGCGACAGCACAACATTCGCCTCTGGCAAATCAACAGCCACTGCACACCAACGGACGGGGGGAGTAGGTACACAGGAAGCAATAGATACCTTCAAAAACTGATTTTCAATATACACACGGCTGTTGTTTGTTTTTCTCTGGAAGATGGGGGAAAGTGGCTCTTTGATTTTTGTTTTCTTTTATTTATTTTTTTTAAGCAAGTATGGCGTGATCTATTTTTATATAATAACTGGTTCCCCACTCTCATTGGTCTCCCTCTGCTTTTTGTGTAGGGGTCAGCGTGGAATCGGCGTGTAGATTGGAGGTGAGCATGAGTGCAGACACTCCGTGGTTTTCAAGGCCCTGCGGTTGAGGGACCACCACTTGCGCGGTCGGCGCGTACCGGTAGGTAGCAGAGCCATTCAGTTCAGGGGGTTGGCTGGCAACTTCCGTCCACTGATTACTTGGGACCAGATAATCCTTGTTGACGCAGTTGCGTAGGCTGTTGGGTATCCGTCCCGTCACAGCGCGTCGTATCTCCCCGGCCGCGCTCTCCCGCACCTCGTTGCTGCTCTGCTCGCTGTACCAGGCGCTGTGTGGCGTGCAAATGAGATTAGGCACGTCCTTCAGTGGGCCCATGGAGAAGGTGAAAGGCTCGTTCTCGTGGACGTCCAGGGCTGCAGCACGGATGCGTTTCTCCATGAGAGCCTGGGCGAGGGCAGATTCGTCGATCAGGCCGCCTCGCGCCGTGTTGACCAGGAAGGCTCCCTGCCGCATCTGTTTGATTGTGAATTCGTTGATGAGGTGGTGGTTGTGCTCGTTGAGGGAGCAGTGAAGCGTCACGCAGTCACTTTGGAACAGCAGGTCCTGTTAGCAGATAAACAAGGTTCAAGAGTTATTCACCGTGATGCTGATCATCTGACTGGGCCAAGCACACGAGTGTTCACAATTTCACTTAGAACTTTCCAAATTAGAAACAAAACTACTACAACGGTAACAGGCTCAAGTGTTGGAGCCCAGACAATGGCCTCTTCGGGGTATCTGTTGACAGCATACCTGCAATGTGTAGACGCGAGTTAGACCCAGTGATTTCTCTATGCCATCCGCTAAGTAAGGATCGTAGAAATGAATGGTGAACCCAAACGCCTTGGCTCTCTGTGCGACTGCTGTGCCACAGCGACCTACAACAGACAGGGACAAAGTATGTTATAATGACCTAATCTGAAAGCATCCATGAGGGACTCGCTACAGATTGTGTTTAATGAAGAACCATTTGGTCAAGGAAGGAGTGATCAGAACAGATGTTGTATAGACACTCTTCTACCCCTGTACTATAATTATAAAAGGATTCAACTATAAAACTCTGACAGGTCCTTGTGCCTACATGCCTACATCACTAGACGTGCTTCAAATCCTTAACCCAACTGGTTAATACCCCAACTCATGCCCACCCTTTCACTTTTCCTCAACCCTACACACCCTCGCTACTCACCTAGTCACAATGAGGATTAACCAGACTACATACTACAAATCCTTAACCAGACAGGTTAATACCCCCAAACCCATACCCCCCCCCCCTTTCCCCTTCACCCACCTAGTCCAATGATCCCAAGCATTTCCCCTCAGATCCTAGTGACTCCTATCAGTCGGTCACTTATTGGATCTGTTCGGCCCATCAACCCCCACCCCAATAACCAGTTAGTCCAATGATCCGCGTTTCCCATCAGATCCTACTTGCTCCGTTGGCTGCTTCCTGGATCTGTTCAGCCCCTCAAACCTATGCCCACCCCTCCACCCCATCTTACCCCACACCCCCGGTCATCCACCTAGCCCAATGATCCCCAACGTTTCCCCTCGGATCCTAGTGGCTCCGTTGGCTGCTTCCCGGATCTGTTCAGCCCCTCAAACCCATGCCCACCCCTCCACCTCATCTTACCCCACACCCCTGGTCACCCACCTAGCCCAATGATCCCCAACGTTTCCCCTCGGATCCTAGTGGCTCCGTTGGCTGCTTCCCGGATCTGTTCGGACCCTAGAAGCTTCTTGCCTTCCCGGACCATCTCGATCATCCAGTGGGTTCGACGGTAGAGATTCAGGATCAAGCACATCGTGGAGTCTGCTACTTCCTCGACGCCGTAGCCTGGGACGTTGCAGACCGCCATGCCTGGTTGGGGGAGGGGAGGGGGTGGGGAACAAGAGAGAAAGACATTACAATGTTGAAGTAGTTTTTGCAAACCTATTGTCATTCGAGTGACGTACTGACTGACTGACTTTCAATTCCAAAGCACACAGAACATTTTTCCCAACTTTTCCATGGTTTCCCTCCCATCATCAAATCTCCATGTCATTATCTCATATCTTTTTCCATCATTCCTAAGATTTCCCTGATTTCCATACCTAAGTCTCCTGCCGCCTTGATATCAATGTTGTCATAGCCGGAGCCAATGCGCACAATGATGCGTAAAGCCTTGAACTTCTCCAAGTCCTCTTTGGTCAGTGTAATGGAGTGATATAACAGCGCCCCCACGGCTTCATTAAGCACCTGAGGAAACAACAAATAACATGAAAGTCAATCACAAATCATCAAAATGACAAGCTATTTAAATGACCAATGACAAGGGCTTCCTTTTTTTGTTGCTGTTCATCCATGATTTGTACAGACCTGCTTTGTGTTTGGACTTGTGGTGGACTTGTGATGGACTTGTGGTGGACTTGTGATGGACTTGTGATGGACTTGTGATGGACTTGTGATTGACTTGTGATTGACTAGTGATTGAATTGTGATTGACTAGTGATTGAATTGTGATGGACTTCTGATTGACTTGTGATGGACTTCTGATGGACTTCTGATGGACTTGTGATTGACTTGTGATGGACTTGTGATAAGACTTGTGATGGACTTGTGATTGACTGGTAATTAGACATGTGATTGACTTGTGATGGACATGTAGGAAAATATTGTGATGATGTAGTGAGGATTCATTTTAACAGCAGAAATTTGTAAATGTCATCCTAAATAGGGCATGTTGACAGCTCACAAACAGATTCAACTCTTAAAAATAAGTATTATTCAAAAATAATCTGTTGGAGTGATCAATCAAGTCCAGAAACTTCCTGAAAAGTAAACAGAAAATTTAAGGCTGCCCCCCTCCGCCCCAAAAAAGGAAAAAGCGAACGTCCCCAAATGTCACGTCATATTTTTGGCTTGTTGTCAGCTCACAGTTTGACCAGGAAACAAATTTGTTGGGCACCGCTTCCTGCTGAATAGCCGGAGCAGTGAGTAATCTCCATCAACTCTGGGACTTTCAAGACACTTGTGGGGCCTCGTCATCTAAAAGGATAAGGTTTCTGTCCTGTGTATTGGGAAATTCAGGCCAAATTGCGATCAAAATGCCGAGGAATCGATGTGCAACCCTTCCAATTCCAAGTAACTCGTCACTGTAACTAAAAAAACTTCATGAACACGAAGCAAGACTCAACACAGATGGCGACACAATGGCAACATACGCTTACAAGAATGACTAATGATCTTGATCAAAAAGTTCCTTTCCGATTTCCTCAGTTTATGGCCCCCTGACACTTCGAATCAAACACGTCCCCAATCTACGAGTCGCTGGGCTAAATATGGCACAGGCAGCTCGGTAGCGCAAGCTCAGTAAAACCAGCGCAGCAGAGAGGGGGAGTGATTCATTTGGTTTGTACGAAGGAGAGTCGGGGAGAGGGGTAATTGTATCTCTGAGAGGGGGTAATGGTATCTCTGAGAGGGGGCAATGGTATCTCTGAGAGGGGGCTGCGGGGCGTTCATGATTTGACCAATAAACTTGACAAAGGTGTCAACATTACATGAATGTTTTCACTTGAGGGGGAAACTTGAAACTTGACTTAGCGTTCTAAATGCAAAAGAGTTTAGAGAATCTGGTCTGTGCAATGTCGTTTGACCCTGCTACAACACCTAGAAACCATTTTCATGCAGGCGAATGAAAATGGACTCTTTTGGCTGCCTGTCATATTGTCAAATCAAAGGAACATTCAACCCTTCGCAGCCATCAACCTACATCTACGTATTGAAAAATAATCCTCATATATTCCCCTGAAACTTCAGTGAACAAAGAAATTGACTTTTTTCGGTGATCCAAACCCCAAACATCACCAACATTCTAGTGGTCCAATTACTGAGCTTTTGAACAAGGCGTCTGGATAACATCCCACAAACAAATATAACCCAAGGTTAAAACTTAGACAACAACACGGGCAACATTCTTTGATTCTCTATCAGATACTTTTTATAGCAAGTAAAGTTTGTTTCTTCGTTAAACTGTCTGGTGGCTGACAAAAGACAGCAAGCCCCCGTTTTCCCCATGCCTCACTTCCTTCAGATATATTCCAAGATAATCTCAAGACGTCAGGCAGTGGGCTGTCGCGTGGGCTCCCAGGTATTTTGAGCTTCCTGGCCTGATAGGAAACGATGGCCCTCTGACACTATTATCCACTTCCACCGGTGGTGGGCAGCTGGGGGTCCTCAGGGGCGACAGAGATCCAGAAATGGGGACAGGAAAAAAGGTCAGAATGGTAACAGTGAAGGGTCAACACCGAAATAGACACTAGGAGACTCGCGAATTGCAAGCGGATACTTTCCTTTGATGTGGAACTTTTTGTTTTAAACGATTCCAATTCTGTCTAGGAGTTTTTTGGGGAATTGACTCAAAAATTTACCCAGTAAAAAGGTATTGGGATAAACTCCATAATATCTTGAAATGTTCTTCAAATGAACCACAAAGAAAAAAACTGACTAGGTTCGTTATTAGAATTTTCAAATTTGAAGAAGAAATTGACTGGAGGTTCAAGCCCTGTTCCAGTCTATTTCTTTATTCAACTTTTGAAAACTATTATTATTTGTTGCGAAGTGTCCGGAATGCATTCTGGGGGAAATGGAAACAACTATGGGCCTTATTCACAAGTCGGCCATATTGGATTGAGAGTGAGGTGAAATCTTCATTTTTGGAACTTGTGTAGAGAAATGAAAGCAATGACGTTACAAATTAATACCAGTCTGCTCTGATGAATAATTTAAAATTTGCGAATAAACATGCTCTAATGTTTTAAGCCCCATTCAAAAAAAAAAGGAAAGTGAGGCTATAGTGAATAAATAGTCTGGCACCATCCCATTCAACAGTTCACAACTTATTAACTACATTCAGGGAACACGACAAAAACGGCCAACTCGTGCATAAGGCCCATTACAGGGAGTTCATTTCTCAAGCGAGTGGAGTCTGATGATTTTGATTCAAAATTGAGAATCGATTCTTTTCGATCCTGACCAAAAGTTGCCCAAGCCTAGCACATATATTGTTTCTGCTGCACACAACAAAATTTGGACTCCGACACAGATACCCACATACCAACAGGTTGGGGAATTACAGATATTCATCATTTCCTGTGGAAACCCACTACCCAAGGATGGTCAGGACCAGTGCGTGCCCCTCGGCTATAATGTGTCTCTTCCTAATTATACCAGGCAAGGTTAATATTAATATGATTTGGTCCGTCTGCTCTTTATACAATGTACCCCACAACACAGCTGGTTGTTTGGGTACCAGAAATGACCAGAGATGGGCGGCTTCCTGCCTCACACCCCCTTGGAAGAGATAGGCCCCTAATCCCCCAAACCAGTTTTTAATTTCGATCGTCCCATCGACCTATCTGAGGGCGCTGGTGGGTGCTAATCAAGTTGAGCTCTCCTTGGAAGATTTGTGTTGACCTGATGACCCCGGGTCACTCATTCTCTGCTCTCATTGGACAAACTGTTTACCTGCTGACACGGTCAGTTCTTCCGTAGATCTGCATGACCCTTTCACACAAGATGTTGTTAACAGCAAGTGGCCTACTGCGACATGCGCGTCCACAAGATTATGTGAAACGGATTAGCCCCCATCGGCACCCTTTGCGAGTGAAAACAGTGAAAACAAGACTATAAATTTCAGCGGATTGTGTAGTAACGTTGGCCCCTATAACTCCTCGCCACTTGTATTCGGTTCACACTGCGAGAAACAGCTCCGTGTAAAAGATGGATGGGAACACACATGAACAAAGTCGGGAACGGCCTGTAACTTGTGTTTCCTGTGCACAGCGGTTTGCCCACATCGTTACTGCTTAGTGCTGCAGCAGTTAGACTGCCGCTGGCAATTTTGCAATCAATCAAATCAGAGTACCCTCATAACTAGCAGAGCTCTTTGCTGAACTAAACTGGAAACAATAGACGCTGCAAAACAATTGTGATTCAAAGAATTTCAATGAAAACTTCAACCACATGTACATGTACATGTATCTTCTTCTCTCTTTTTTTGGCCTGGTCAATTTATCAACCTGCCACATCACACACATGATAAAAATATGTTGACCTAATCAAGTCTTATTAGCTTCAAATATTGTGATGTTGTAAAACTGGTTCCCATGACATCACAACTAAGCCAAACTTTTGAAAGGTGAATTTCTTGACTGTTTCAGCACACACAAAATTATTGACTCAAAAACCTGGCTGGACTACACTACCATCTCACCAGATTGGGAATTCTACCTTTTAGGAAGGAGAGGGGTGAGGGGGGTAGGTACAGGGGGTGGGGGGGGGGGGAAGGGGGTTAGTGTCGCCAACACCCTCATGCATCACCTGTTTGCATCCAGACTCCCCCAAAAAAGCTCTTCTTTAACCATTCCGTGACCTTCAGCAGTCGGGAAGGAGGCTAAGCACCGACTTGTTGTTGTTATTGGACTGAAGTTATCCTCCCTGACTTTTTTTTTTTAAAAGGGTACCCTCTTCCGTTGGGAGGAGGCAATGTCCTGGGGACAGTACCCAGGGACACGGCCGACAGGAAGAGGATCAATTAGAGACATCCTTGTTGACACCCCCCTAGTACTAAGAAGCTCCAAAATACCAGCCAAACCAAAAAAAAAAAGACTGAGTTGAAGGGCAGAGAGGGGAGGAAATCTGTCACTGATTCATCAGTTGGAATGTGATCAAGTTTGAGAGGGCACAGCGCTGTGGTCATTTGTCTTCTACCACCACAGATCGGCAGAATATTTATGGCAGAATTAAGCAAAACCCAAGGTTAGGTTGAACACCAAAACTAAATGATGGATATGTGACTCTGAAATGCCGTAGTGATCTGAGCTAGTCTCTCAATCAGCCCATTATCTTTGTTCATCGTTATTATCTCGCAATAGCCTCTGTTGCCACAATAACCCTAGACCTACATCATCCTTCTCAGAAACTTTGCTCGGGGTGCGCTTGTCAGAAGCCATAAACCCACAAGTGCCAAAACGCCATGTTGCTAGCATCATTGGCAATGCTGCAAACCTTGGAAAATACCGGTAAATGAAGTTGACCGCACAATAGTCAGATTAATTGAAGTCAAGCACACAAAGCAGGGAACAGCAGCATTCTCGGGCCCAGTGTGGTGCCCTCATATGAACTACAACTGCGTTGAAGCATATGAACTAAAACTGCGGGCACATTACACATGTACATGTACTTCTGCCTTGTACACTGACACACACCGTATGAGTATCAGCAAAACCTAATATTGATTTGCATCAACCCAGACGCAAAATTCCATCTTATGAATAGTTTAATTGCGGTACCTGCTGCTACATGTACATCAGATTCGAACCAGCCAATGGATCTCGCAAGCTTGGTGATGAAGTGGAAAAACGTCTGCACTAGAGAGCAGCAGGTCGTGGGTTCGAGTCCCACCAGAGTGATTTTGCCAACTTTCACTCGGGAGGTACCGGGTAACACACCGAGTATACAGTGGTAACACGTCGGTGAAAGGCAAAACTTAATATTGATTTGCATCACCCCGACACAAAATTCCATGTTATGAACACCAGTGTCAAGTTTCCCATTAAAAAAGCCATAAGATTTCAGAACATGTCTATCAACATCATTGTTGTAGTCGAATCCATCACAAGTCCCCACAAGTCCTCACAAGTCCTCACAAGTTACCCAGTCCTAAGTCGAGTTACATGCTATTCACATGACCTGTGACAAGGGCATTCCGCTGCTATTTTCAATCCGCAACTTGCGACAGGGCTTGTGAATTGAAAAACTGAAATACTTGTGACCAGCTTTGCGATGGACTCAATTCAAACACTGGCAAAAAGCCTTTGGATTTCTGGACAGGCCTGTCGACATCTTCCGTCGCGAGTCTCACCTTTTCGTGGATTTCATTTGTGGACTGCGCGTCGCAGAACGCCACGGTGGCCACATCTTTGAGGATGGGCATCTCGACGCTACAGTCCCGGCCGTCCAACAGCGCCACCAATGGACGGGCGGGGAGAGGCTGGGGGTTGTTGCTGGTCACGGCCGCAGCCGGGTGACGAATTCCTTTGGGGGAATAAATAGAACAAACTTTAACATTCCGAAGAGCAATTAATTTATTGTTCAATATCCTGTTTGTGCAGTTTGTAACCTAGTAATGGATCAAATGTAGGACTTTATGTATGTCCAAAATCAACCTGTTTGTCTCTGGCTCTAGATATATTTAGTAAAGAGTCAACCTGAACGGTTTTAGCAGCAGCCACTTACGTGTACAAGTAACAGCCATTTTGGGCACTGCCTATATGGCTCTCAATCTTTGCTGTTGCTTTTGAGTTCGTATCAACACAAATTTTGGCAGCACAAATTTTATACCAACTGCAGTGGGCGGGCCGTCGCCGCGTTATGGGGAGGTTTTTTATTGTTAGGCAAATTAGGACCAAGTTATGGGGACTTTCGGCTGTCCCCATAGCATCTTTGGTCCCCATAGTACAATGGGACAACACGTGTGTAGTCCCCACAGTTACAGAACAAGTGAACTTGAAAATAAAAAGTGCCAAGTTAAAAGCAGTCTGACAGTTCCATTCCTAAAAGAACTTTTTATTTAAAAAAAAAAACCTGCTAGGATTGAAAGGTCTTCCAACTTCGGAAGTTTTTAAAACAAAAATGAAGTATACTAGATTAGTTCAAAATGTCTGCTGATATAAATAATTTATTTCAGGTTTTGCTAGTGAAGCTGTAGTGGGCAACAAACACATGTATGTATTTTGTACAAAAATAAGTTACTAAGTTACTAAATTGAAAGAAACAACTAGAGGATCTGCGTGTTCCCCACCAAATTACAATTTTTCCCTCTTGCCCTCATTTAATTTGCCCTACTTCCCCTTACTTCCCCTGTCTCCCCCACCTCCCTACGTACTCCCTATCCCCCCAAGTCAACAAAATCCACACACGGCTCCCCACAGCATTACAAAACAGATAAGATATCCCCCTAACCCACTACCCCAAAAATACTCGGCTGTTTTGTAGGGGGGAGCAAACTAGTTTACGGACGAACCGTGTTGCGAGCACGAGCAAAACTCCATGTTGCCCAAGTTTAGCAGAACTTCCAATTTAAGCCACTTAGCAGCGGCACACGGAGTTAATACACAACTTCCCCCTCTGTAATTGATTGGATCCTAGGGTTTGCTCACAGCTAGTCCACGTCGGATCTCTCAGGGTTTTTTTTTAACCGAAGAACAATTTTTCAGGATCAGCGCTCAGACTTCAAACTGACAAGTGATCCTATTTGGGGGCAAGTTCAGGAAATTTGGGTCCTTTTTTGTTTGGTGTTGATTTTGGTTCATTAAGGGGTAAGAGATTCGAGGGAGAGGGGTGGCTTGGTCTAATTTAACAATTTAGTGGTTGGGGAAAAGGGGGTATTGGGAGGTTGTGGGAGGAGCAAGGGGTGGAGTAGTGGGCTGTAGAGGGACACAGGGTTGATTTGCGACTGATAAGTTGGAGTTTGATGATCAGATAATTTTCATCTTTTTGAGGGAGTTTTAAAAATGTCAAAATAATGGGAAAAGTGGGGGAAATTGGTGTAATAATTCACAGACTAATGGAAACAACTTGAAATCACTAAAGGAAGAGGGCTTGACATTTCGATCCTAGCAAGATTTTTTTTTCTCTATGGCAAAAAAATTGAATTGTATGAAAAACTTGGGTTTTTTTCATGGGGGGGGGGGGCGCATGCAGAAAAAGACTTGATTGTCACCAACCATCAGGCCACTCAGTGGCAAGGAAAAAAATGAGGCAGAGCTTCACTTATATTTACGAGTGGATGGTGGTTTTTTAAAAGAAAACATATGAAACACTGGCACAGTAATCTATAGGTTACAGGTTAGAGTCCCACTCCAGACAACAACTGCTGTATTTTTACCCACCTTCGACGATCCTATCTACAGACATTCTAGGGCGTTTAGGCTTCTTCTGTTTATCCATAGGGGAGCGAGGCCGCGAGTTGTTGAGTGTGCTGACGTCCACTGTGACGGGCGGGTCTACCTCGGGGTCCGGTACAGGCACGTCTCCCTCTTTCTTCTCACCCCCGGGGAAGTGACAGCTGCAGATCCGCAACTACACGGTGTCAGGGATAGGGTGGCAGAGGCATGGGGAGGAGGGGTGGGGACAGTGTGTCAGAGATGGAGATCATGAGGGTGATAAAGGTAGAGATGGACAAACGGTGGTCAAGGGAATAGGTGAACAGAAATAAGATTACAAACGGGGTGACAGAACCATTGACAAATAGGGTGATAGAATAGGGAAGCAAGAGGATGAGAGAATAAGAATAGGTTGAGGGGGAAAAAAAGAGGGAAAAAATAAAACCACGTTAATTTCACTGCCTGCTTTATTACAAAACTTAAGCTTCAATCGAGGTCCTACTCTAAAGAATCTCAAAGAGTGCGCACACATTCCGAAATTGTTTTGACTGAGAAATTGTTTGATAGTGCTTCCATTTGGCCAACCAAAATGCCAGTACATGTATTTGAAAATGAAACATCTTATTTTTAAAATCATTTTTTTGATCCTCCATTCATGATTTCTGTGCATTATGAAACTTTAAAAAAAAATTCTTCCAGAGCATATAATTAATTCAATCCACTTTTATTTTGAAAGCGAGGATTTTTATTTTTAAAACAATTTTTTTGAGGGGGTAGTTGCTTTTTTTTTTTTGATTGCTCTTTTTTTTTTCTTTTCTTTTTTTGCTTAATCAAATTTAAACAATGCTATTTGAGGAGTCTAAAAATAATTACTGCCACATGGCTACTCCACAATTTGAGATTCAGAATGTCTGGTCGTTCTGAACCAGCGGTGCATATAAACATGTAACGCACGTCTTGACACATCTGACAAGAATACCGCATGACAACTCACAGGCACATAATGCAGTTCATGCTGGACAGGTACCGAACACGACTCAACGTAATACGAAATATAACCAACAAAAAAAGTACAACGGAAGTTACGGAACACTGAGGGAGAAACGGTGCATAACACGAAATTTGTCCTGCGTGGCACAATATCGCAAGACACACAGATGAACATACTTACCACTATTTGCTTGGGGAAAAAGAAATTGTGTTACACCTGGATTTTGAAAATTCCATACTTGGTTTTTAAATATCTTAGCTGTTTAATTCAATTAATATGATTGCCTTCCAATAAATAACTGTTCAGGTATCGTACAAGACGTAAATTCACACATAATCAACACCTTGAACTAACAACCTACAGTGTATATCAAGTTATATGGGTCTGACTTATACTTACATGTATCTGGCGTGAGCCTTATAAGAAAAAAATCACAAAAATTCCCCCCCCCAAAAAAAATTTTTTTTAGACATGTGTTTGTGGACAAACACCAGCTGTGTTCGCTGTTTGAAATGACTCTGTGACATGTGATGATGACATGACGACGTCACTTCAAATTTTCATGTACATGTATATGACATATGATTACTCAGCATCTTAGATATACAGATATGAAAATAACCGTTTATGTGATGTCACCTGACTTGTTATGACATCATCATGACATCACTTCAAAAAATTGAGTTAAACCACATTTTCTGTTTAATACAAGCAACATCCCACACACTGTACCAATGTCAAATTACTCAGCTGCTCAGAATCAGAACATCAAAAACTTAAAATTTCATTCTATAAATTCACTGAGATCTTCTCACCCAGAATCACAAAAATTGTTAATCAACAAGAAAATTGCCCAAACTCTTCAATTTTCTGTTTCTAAAGGAGGACAGCAAACAAGACTTTATTCCATATGAGCTGCATCCCAAACACCACTGCCAATCACTCTGGACTCAAGGTGAAAGCCTTGCCGAGGATTTTGTCCCCGTCTTTCTTTTTTCTTTTCCCCCCAGTCCCTTAGTAGATAATGGTTTTTGGACGTGCACAGGGGAGAGATCTCCTCGCCGTGAATGGTATTAGCCTGTGCATAAAGACCTTCGCTGGATGGCTGGAGGGGGTCGAAAGAGAGCTTGCTGTACAGTCATAATACCGTAATTTCTAATTAGCTTTGGATACAAGTCTTATCAGCAATAGAGAGTGTCCTTGTGTGGTCTACAAAGATTAGGATTTGGGATTCAGTGATATTAAGTACATGTTAGGATGTTCATTTGATAATGTGAATATTCATGTGTACATGTACTGGTACACGGTATGCACATGTACACACATGTACATAATGTGGTTCTTACATGTAAGCGCTTTTCACCAAAGGTTTTAAAACACTTCACAATTATTAGCCTGTTCATTAGACACTTTTCTGAAGCCAAGATCAGGTCTCTACCCTCGCACTTAACCATACTCCTGGGTGGCGAGAGGCAGTTGTGGTAAAGTGTCTTGCCCAGGAACACAAGCACCACAATTTATGTACAAAAGTGTATGCCGTGAGGACGCACATGAACCACCCAGGTATGTACTGGGTATGATTGCAAAAGTTGTATTTGAAGAGCAATCAAATCATCAAAAAATCTTGATGTTGATACAAAAATGTGATGTACATGTAGGCGTAAATTTGCATAATTTCACCATTCAAAAAGTCGAGAGGGCAAGATTTATATCAATAAAATACATTAGGCTACCGGTACATGTAATTACATGTACATTGTCAATGCAAGAGAAAAGATAAACTTAAAGTTTAAGTTAAAAGATTTTTATTTACACTTAACAGCCAACTTGATAAAGAACACATGTAAAATGATTTTAAAAAATGTTAATATTGCTAAGTTTTTATTATTACAATTTGATGTAATTAAATGCATGAGAAAACTTACAAACATGTACATGTATGTATATATGTAACTTATTCCTGTTAATTAATGTTCCCTCAAGGAAACAATTTAACATCATTAGTTATATACCTTAGGGAGACAACGGACATTAGGGAGACATTTCACTGTCTCCCTAATGTCACAACTCCTATTTAGAGGCAAAATGTTACTGTCGCAAACAGGCTAGATCAATTGCTCGTGGCCCAAAACATAAATAAACCAGAATTTGTGAAGGTAGGATAAGGGAAAATTGGGGTTAGGGTTCATTAAAGTTTGAGGGAAAAAAATGTGCATAACCCTAAGGAGATGCCTCCCTTAAAGATTTTTTTAGTCCATCATTTGTAATTTGTGCATTTTGTTCGTTGGAAGCAACAAAAGTGTTCAAAATCTAGTGAAGGATACTGAACAACTCACCTGATGAAGTTTCAGCTCAGCTTCAGCTGTTTATTCCGAGAAAAACAGCATTCTAGGATCTCAATTTCAAATCTAAAGTTGCTGAATCATGTTTTCAATTGGGCCTGAATTCAGCGTCCGAGACGCGTTCTCACTGAGCTGATTGCAGCTACATGTATACGCGATGTCGCGCACTGATCCCACGAATTATAGCAACCGCACGCGCGTGTGCGTCGTGCCAATGCTTGCGCGCGCTTCGCCAAATAACAAAACGAACTACTAATTAAAATTTTCATACGGTGCATCTTAAGACGCCAGAAAGAATAATTTCACTGGGAGTTTAGTCCACTTACTATCTTTCAACCAAGTATGTTTTTCAACAATAATTACGCTAGTTACTTTTCGGATGGCTGCAAATGATGGACTATAGCTTTAAGGTACATTTCCCGTAATTATTCTAACTTTAACAAGCAGTCACTTACGTTTGGTCAACACTCATGGTACAAGTGAAATACGTGTCGATACATGGAACTACTACCGGTAACATGTACTGGTATAATGGGAAATGTTGTACATGTACATGTACGTCATTTTTTAAGCAGTCAAAGGGCAGGTTACAGTTGAATGATTCTAGACCATGATGAATGTTCAACTTGGTAGGCGGGAAGTCAAGGGTCATTCACTCATTCTTCTGCTGAACAAATTCCATAATGTGCACATTTCAATATCTAAAGTACTTAATTCACCAACATCAATATGGCTGAGTAACACCAAGTGTTATGCACACTATGTACATGTACATTGGATGTCGTCCTGGAAAATGTTCACTACATTTGTAAATGCCAAATTTGACACAACCTTGTTTGGTCTTTCCCAATACATGAACATTATTTTTTTTATCTATTAACTCAAATTGTGGAATGATGAATTTTCGGGGCGGATTTTTCAATCAGCACGTCCACACACAAGATTATACCACAAAACTGTAATTAAACTATGCACATGTACATGTACATTTTGTACGTTTATACTGTGTACACATGTAAAGTACCTCAAATTGACCTCCATTGACTTTTCACCATTGTTCCAGAGCAAATATTGTAGCCGCTCTCCAAACACTCAGAACCATACTGAATATCGACCTCCAGGTTTCACCCTAAACCCGATACAAATTTGGTACTTGACAAATGTGTTTTTATTTATATTACTCCATCACATTGATGCTTTCTATAAGTTTGTAAACTTGACAATACAAACAAATCAATAAAACAGGTATTTGTTTATGAACCCCCCTTCCCCCCCCCCCCCCCCCCCCCCCCCGCTTCCCCCTCCCAACCCCTGTCTACACACCTCCCCACCAGAGAAAATGAACAAGACGCAAACAATTTTATGTAAGCGTGGAGCCCACATCATCAAGTGAACGCCGGTATGAGACCGGGTATTAATAATGCTACAGAGAGAAAGGAAAAAAAAAACACCACCAGCAAACTGACATATATTACGCCAAACGTACCCTGTACGTACACGTGCATAAAAAAAAATGTAAAACCTGCATAAGGAACAGGGTGAGTGACCGATCTTTTCCCCCGCACGCGGCAAACAATATGCAATAGCAACGGGTGTATTTGCGGAGTCAACCTGGACTGCGGGGGAAAAATCCCGTGAAGGCAAGACAGAGTGGGTCGAGAGAAAAAAGGGAAAAAAAAGTAACACAAAAATAAAAAGACGGGCTACAGGGAGATAGCCGGTGTAAAAAGGGCCAGAAGAGGTAGGGGAAAAAAATGTATGCAGTAAGAAGCGGTTTAAGTAAGAATCGAAGGCCTCGCTGACCGGGGTTTAAAGAAAAACAATCTCGTGGCAGAGCCGATCCAGGTGCAAAACAAAAAAAAA